CGATTCCAAATATCTCGAAAACCATTACTCGTAGCGATTTTTACTAAGAGACCTTTTTTACGTAAAAAACGTCGTAAATGTATATTTTTTACTCAGTAGTTTTATACAAGTACGGACGAAAAATGATTACTCTTCAAACCGGTTAAAAAATATGTAGGTGGCGCCCTCTACTAGTAGGAGCCATATTGACATCAAAATCAAATTTATCATGTCAAAAAACTCCCAGACACCAATTTTCATTCAAATATTGACTTTCCTTCAGAAATTATTTGGAAAAAATCGAAATAAAAATGAAACTTCTACACTCTGTATCTCTGAAACTAAGCATTTTAGGACATACACTTATACGAACTTTTTTACTTATTTTTATCTGCAGAATATGCTGCCGAAGTTTCCGAAATAGAGTCCGGACCGCCCTGTATATACCACCTATTTTCCTTTCAACAAAACATCCCTAGTATTCCTATTTTCACTTTTTCTGACACACTTCCACCTCCACGAAAGAATCCTATATTGCAGTTAATATGAAACTTTGTAAATTAAAAAAATCTGAAACATCTCTATACCAAATCTTAGATCAAAAATACAATGATTATATTTGTTTTTACACTGATAACTCAAAATCTGTCCGAGGTGTTGGCTGTGCTTTTTTTGGTCCTATAGCTAATAAAAAAAAAGAGTACCAGATTTCTCTACTGTTCTAACAGCTGAACTAACAATTATTTATCAGACTCTTATTCAAATTCAGAGTATGACACTGTTTCAAGCATTATTACTATCTGATAGATTGGGAAATAGGTGGGGCTGCGCCCCTAACATTTAGCGCTGGATGTATACCATGATAGTAAAACCCATGATTACCTATGGAGCAGTTACTTTGAGAGGTATACAAAACTAGAGCAACGTACAGCAAGGCAAAACCTGTGCAAAGTACAGAGACTGACATGTATCTACATCACAGGTGCCATGAGAATATGTCCAACAGCAGCAATGGAGGTCATTATAGACCTAACACCACTGCACATTGTCGTCGGTAGTTATGCCAATGCGACAATGATTAGAATGGTCATTGACGGAAACAAAAATTCCACTTCTCCAACTCCCAGTGGACGGCATACCAAGAATTTACAACTTTGAGAAACACCTCACTGTAGTATTGAGTAATAAAGAGAATTGGAAGGAAGAAACGCTTACTCAGCATATAAAAACCATACCATAACATGGTATACTGATGATGCTTCCAAAACCAAAGCAGGGACAGGGATAGGAGTATTTGGGTCGAAAATTAAATACTCCGAACCAACTGGCCGCACCTACCCCAGTATCCTTCAGGCAGAAATTTACGCTATCGAAAGATGCGTACAATTTATCTTAGATAGGAACTATCGAAAACAGGAAATCGCCATCCTATCCAATAGCACACCAATAGTCAAGCAGCACTAAACGCGATCAACTCAGTAACCATCAATTCGAAGTTGGTCAAAGAATGCCTAGAGAAGCTCGACAAATTAGGCAAAGAAAATAAAGTCCTCCTACTCTGGGTGCCTCTCACCAAGGGATAGAAGGCAATGAAAAAGCAAATGATCTAGCTAGGAAAGGAGCAAACACTCCACTAATTGGATCAGAACCATTCTGTTTTCCAAACGGGAACCAACTGAAATAACGGAAATGAAGAATCTGGAAGACTCCATCCGTAATTTTGAATGGGTTCCTCAGAACTTACGACCGAGAAAAATCAAAGGTATTCCTTGATTTAAGTAAAAACAATCTTCGGATTGTCACGGGGTTTCCAGTAGGCTGAGGCTGAGAAACAACGGCGAATGCAGATTCTGTGGGGAAAATGGGGAAACACAACATTTTATCACTGAGTGCCCCGAGACGACGACCATTCGTGCCCTGAACTTTGGTACGGCTGATGTCGAGGATGGAGAGCTGGCCTCTGTGGAGCCGTCACAGATACTGGCTTTTGTTAAAGCCCTGCGACTGTATGATGAGTTATAACTCGTTATAACTCAAGAAAGGGGAACACACAATAGATCTGTAAGGTCGCGGTGATTAACTCCTCTAGTTTCTTTAATTCTGTTCCCTATGAGAATATTTTGGTGCCTTGTAATATCTCTAAAATTAATAAAGATATGGAATGCTTAGAGAGATGCGCTCTTACCAAGACCAAAGGCGTCTGCTTGGTCTTGCATTTGCTAATCACTAGACGGGGTACTTAAAAGTTACAAGTCAAGATGTTTTTTTTCTTTCGTTAGACATATGTTTTATGATCTTTCAACAAATTTCAAGTTTATTCTACCGCGTCGCGTTCACTGCTCATCGAAATATTACAATTGGTCAGACGCGTATGTCGAATATCACATGGTAAATCAGTGCACTACTGGAGCGCCGCTACGCACATTATTACATTTAATAAAAATGATATTCTTAATAACTTTAATTTCATGCCCAAGAATAACATTTTCTTCAATCCAAACTTGAACCTTCTCCTTTCAAGGCAATATAGTATTCTTAAAATTGAAATTTTGCCGGAAAAAATTCTTCATTAAAGATTTCTTCAAGTAAAATCTTTCTCTTTTATTTTAAAAATTGTTTTAGGGTCTCAAAAAATGGTTCCTCAGTGGAGACATATCACTATACGAATATACAACTCAAAGATTTAGGCCAAATATGTTGAAAAACTAACACAATTTTGAAATAGTTAAAAATTACTATTTTTTGTTTCAAATATTTAAAGTTTTTAAAAACTACAAGAATATCAATATATTTTTTTGAGACCCTCCACAGCAGCCGCAGATCGCAGATCCAACCAGTGCAGTGGTGAATACAGAGGTGGGGCCCATGGGGCCCGGCCCCCCCTAAAATCTATAAAAATTGAAGGAAACCAAAAACTAGAACCACTTCACTTTCGCTTCCAAAAAAGTACCAACAAAATATGAGACCCTGAGGCGAATTTGATATAAAAAATAATATTATAGTGAATGTCATTTCTAAGGTAACTTAACGCCATTTTAGGCGATCATAGTACGTTATATGACAAGATATAAAAAAAACATTATTTTTCTAATTATAAAATATATTGTTTTTTCTGTAATTTCTTGTATGTCATCTGTCGAATTTTAATATTCTCAAGCAGGGACAGACTATAGTTATAATTGACGGCAATAATAGCTATATGACAGTGGAGATATTTATCCAAAATGATTATTAAAAGATTGTTGTTTCTGTCAGTTTTTTATATTGTCGTCCGTCAAAAGCATATATTCCCTCAATGGATAGACTATATAATATAGTACCGTATGATCGAAAAAAAAACGGCATCAGCGATGGCTATTAAATGAAGATCGCTGTCATTTTATATGCGAAATGTCATTTCCCAGCCAACTGTACAACTGTATGCATACTGGGTGCGTCTCAAAAGTGGCTGACCCCTATAACTTTTTTATTTTTTTCAGATAAAAAAACGAAATTTGGTATGTTAGTATATGACATAAATTAGGATTGATTGACGTATTCAATTGTTTTTGGTCACTTCCTGTTTCACCGGAAATAACTACAACTTTTGATTTTTAAATGGCACCCTCGGTATTTTTTTACTTTATTCGATAGAAAATAATCAAATACGTTTAAATAAAATATACGACGGCCTCCCCATAAGAGCAATGAGAGGATTTACGTCCCAGTATTGAAGGAGGACAGAAAATCGAGTCGAATGGTTTCAGGACATAGGTTCATCCTTGTTTAGTCAAACCTCCTACAAACCAAGGATAGACTTATGTAGGAAATGCATTGAAATTCTATAGCCATCCTTCAATATCGGGACAGGAATTTAAGCGGTACCCTCCGTATACTTTATTTTAAACGTATTTGAAAATAATATTCTGAATAGAATGACATATCATATGTCAACTTTCTCGCTTAAAACAAAATTAAATCTAGAGTGCCATGGTTATGTTAAAAACACTAATTCTTAATCAAGGAGCCTTAGAAAAATAGATTTGATTGTCTAACGTTTTTAGTGTCTTGTCCTGGCCAGTTAGAAAATGCTCAAATCGTATTTTTAATCATATCTCAATTTTTTCAAATGGAACAAGGGTGTCTCATTAGCATATATTTGGAAAAAAGCATTTTTTATGAATAATTTGGTACCACCCATTTTATAATTTGAGTCAAATTTTCGTTACGAACCTAAAAACACTAATTCTTAATCAAGGAGCCTTGGAAAAATAGATTTGATTGTCTAACGTTTTTAGTGTCTTGTCCTGGCCAGTTAGAAAATGCTCAAATCGTATTTTTAATCATATCTCAATTTTTTCAAATGGAACGAGGGTGTCTCATTAGCATATTTGGAAAAAGCATTTTTTTACGAATAATTTGGAACCACACACTTGGTATTTCGAGTCAAATTTTCGTTACGAACCACAAGTTATAATTTCAAATAAACCATATGCAAAAATGTCAAAAGTTGACATATGATATGTCATTCTATTCAGAGTGTTATTTCCTATCAAATAAAGTAAAAAAGAGTCCCGAGAGAGACATTTAAAAATCAAAAGTTTTAGTCATTTCCGTTGAAACAGGAAGTGAACGAAAACAATTGAATACGTCAATCAATCCTAATTTATGTCATATATCAACATATCAAATCTCGTTTTTTAACTGTAAAAATAAAAAAGTTATAGGGGTGAGCCACTTTTGAGACGCACCTGGTATACTTAAGTAGTGTGAATATTCACTAAGTTTTGAAACACTTTATCATGTTTTTATTTAAAAATAAGTCACCGTGAAGGTCAAATATAATCAAAAGTGAGTTATCAATTATAAAATACAAATTGTAAATTTTGGCCCAATGGTCCCCTATAAATAGTATAAAAATAAATTAAACAATATCTTAAAAGTAACAGACTATAGGTCTGTGTATAGATCCCCATAATTTGTAGAAAGAAATAATTTGAACAGATCAATAAAGTAAAAAAGTAAATAGATATATAAAATTAACTTTTAACACAAGTTTTATTGGAAAGATTCTTTACAGAAACCAGTTAAAAATCAATTTGTTATGTTATTTTCTTAATTTCTAGTAATAATACATTAAGACCAAAATTCAAATTACATGGGTTTCTAACTTCAATAGATACAAAATATATTCCGATTTTACCTAAATTCGAACGCTAGATATACACATTTCCATAATCTAAAACTGTTAAGCATTATCTTAAATGATCAACTTCAACAGAAAATAGTATTCTGAGCGTCCGAATAATAAATTTCGTCAAGATAACTGCACTACTTTTCAGTTCAGCAAGTTAGACATGCCTACGAATATTAAATATTTATAAATTCAACATATATTTGTAGACATTGGAACTATTATTTAATCTAAGCATAACTTACAAAACTATTTGATTTTAATTATTATACACTCATTTGTATGACAACTTCTAACTAAAGGACATTATTAAGAACTAATCCTGTCCTAAGGATTGTATTTGCAATAATTTGGATTTCTTTACGCTGTAGATCTTAATTGTATCTTTTAGTAGATGCACACGCCAAATAAAAATATATTTTATTTACAAAAATGAAGTGAATAATGAACATAAGTAAAAATATATAAAAATTTAAGCACACTGCAAAAATCACAGAAGAATATCTTTTACAATATTTCGACGTTTTTGTTTAAAAATTAATTAATAAAAAAATAACACTTTTTATAATATATAAAACATCAGTTAATTTAATTTACTGAAATTGATAGAAATATAAAATTGATTTTAAACAAAAATTATAACACCTCTAATTAGTTGTACTTATACAATTATATTTTGCAAAAGTTCTTCAAATGATTAGCATTTCTGTAAAGAAAACTTATTTTAGGCTGGCAATTGAAGCTTCTTTCCTTTTAATACTGAAACAAAATATATTATTAAAATAATTAAACTATATTATATTTATGATACTACAAATTTAACTTAAAAAATTATTTCATAAGTATCAATAAAGTAAAGAATAATATATTATTATGTATGTATTTCTCACCTTTGGTAACATATAAATAGAAGAAATCACAGTAAAGTACTGTCTGCACCACACCAGCAACTATTGCTATTATATCATAATGCTGTTCACTCCAATAGCGATAAATCCAGTTAAAAATGTATAGCCCTCTATATGAACCCAGTGCAAACAAATAATGCGAAGTAATGCTTTCTGCCTCGCCCGTTTTGCTGACCATAAACAGTTGTGGTAAAATTGCTACAGATTCTAGATAAATACTAAAAGTCCACAATACCTAAAAGTCATTAATTTGCTTTCATTTGACCTAAGTGAAATGTTATACAAAACATACCTCTAAAAAGCTAAACTGATGGTTAATAAGTAAAGCCAAAAGTACAGAAGGCAGAATTAAAAATTCAATACGGAATGTGTCATGGTTGCGATCGTATGTAGCTCTAAATTTCATGTAAATAAAGTAAATAGTAGCATAGGAACTGATGAGAAATATCACTTTCATAAATGTATTATAAAGTGAAACATAAGTAGAGACTAAATCTAAATATCTTGCAGTATAAACTAATGCAAAAAGCACCTGCGACTTTCCAGAAATACCTAAAAAATAAAGATATATTAATTACACAGTATTATTCGAGTATAATATTCAACTAGATTAATGAAAAATAACCACAGTTGGTAAAATAAAGTAGGAATAACCTATTGTATTTACCAAAGGCAACTTTAAAAAGAACGTGGAAAGTGTTCTGGTTCAAGTTTTTCCCGAGGAAAAATACATAAATATACAAAATTATAGAAATAACATGATGCTAAATAAGAATAGTAAAACAATCAAATGTTTATTGTGTTATTGCATAGGTAAATTGTAATTGGAAACAAACATTTTGAACAGTTCAACACCCGGCAAAGCCGTATTAGTAACTTAAACCTAAACTTACCAGCACAGGATCTGGTATGCCAAATCTTTTGTAAAAGAATTATTACTGCAATTAAATGAGAAAGATCTCCTAATAGTCTAAAGACGTTCATTTTTAATATATTTTCAGAAAATTAATGGGAAGTCTAAATTTTCAGAAGTGACGTGGCTTTACTCATACAGCATCCGCCAGGTGGCATGCAAAACGATATCGATGTCAACGTCAACACAAAACACTATACCCAACATAAAAATATTAGAAAAATTACTGATTAATTTAAAATAGTTTGCGTGGAAATATACTATTTTTATTGTTATTTAATTAGATTAATTACAACATATATAAATATAGAAACTAAGCAAAATTTCTGCAAAAACTTAAACGTATACTTAATAATTGAAAAAACAGAAATAAAGTTTATGTTTTTTAAATGAAAAAGTTCCTGCGCTTTTCTGTTGACATTTGACATTAACTTGACACTTGACACACCACCGACCACCGACTCTTTTCTTCTAACCCTACTTTTTTGGGGTTCTTTTTGGGTCCTGTCTTTTTATCAATATAACATTTAAATAAATACTTAAGAAATGGCACACATAGAAAGGCCTATTAAAGTATCCAAACTGCTTCGTTATAAAGCTCAAGAATTTCTTGAATCTAGTAGAAATCCTGATATACTGAATCAAATTATAAACCATTTTGATTCTGGGCTGGACACTGTATCTTGTCTTCTCGCCTTGGAAATGATTTTTACAAATTTATTGAAAGATAGGAGCATGTATGTGGAAATTATACCCTTAAAGCCGATAGAAAGGACCCCCGAAAATCAACATAAACAATGGCTAAAAGAAACTTACGAAGGATGTTTTAACCTAAAAATATTAAACTGTTTAGAACATGAATCTGCAAGAATCAAATTACAAGGTATAGTTTATAAACAATATTTCTGTGATATTTAAAAACAGGAATATAACAATTACATATTGCAGGGTTATCAACAGCAATGAATATAATTGCCCATGAAGGCAGACACCCCTTAGAGTCTAAAGGCACATTAGAGAATTATGTACCATTAGGAAAACTAAAACTAATATTAATGAAAATTCTTTCTAATAAGTATAATAACACCAATCTCATAAACAAATATACAGAATATTTATTATTTGATGATATTCTTTTTTTTACATGGAAAATATTACCTTCTTTGACTCACAAATCTAATCCAAATGAAACATATATTATAAATTACCTAGGATTACTGGAGAAACTACAAATATATCCAAATAGTGAAAGAAAAGTTTTGTGTGCAGAGGAAAATGGTTCGTATAAAATTTTAATTTAGAACACTAAATAAAATTATTTTTTCAGTTAATTTTTTTACGTTTGATGAAAACGTTACTAAACGATGCCTCAATAAAATATGGCATTGCATTATGTATTGGATGCACACAACAAATACATTAAAGCAGTTGCTTATAGTTCTTCTTGAAAAAGTGTTGGTCCATCTTGAAAAACCACTACTTTTAACCGACTTTCTTATGGATTCGTTAGATGTAGGTGGTCCGGTTAGTCTTTTGGCACTGCAAGGAATATTTACAATGATTCAAGTACACAATTTAGATTATCCAAATATTTTTGCCAAGTTGTATTCAATGTTTGAACCAGAAATTTTTCACACAAAATACAAAGCCCGGTTATTCTATTTATCGGACCTATTTTTAAGTTCCACACATTTACCCGAAAATATGGTAGCTGCATTTGCTAAAAGATTAGCTCGATTGGCCCTTTTAGCTCCTTCAGAAGACATTATCATAATATGTAATTTTATTGGAAATTTAGTATTAAGGTAATAATGCCTCATATTTGTTTTGTGTATAACCAGTATTAAGTATATAATTTTCAGACATCCTGGATTAAAATGTCTTCTTCATAACGGTAATGGAGTAACGGCTAGTTCAGATCCATATATTATGGAGGAACGAGACCCACTTAAGTCTAATGCTATTAATAGTTCCCTGTGGGAATTACAAACCCTACAAAATCATGTTCAACCCAGTGTTGCAAATGCTGCTAAGTTTATAAATTCACCGCTGCCATCTGTGGAATGGGACATAGGTAAAATCTTGGAAAACACTGGTGATGACATATTTGATAAAGAAGTCAAAAAATTTAGTAAACTGATAGTATTACAGTTTGAACAGCCTAAAGGTTTATCTCTGAATCGGGGAGAAAAAGTTTCAATGTATTGGGAATTTGACTAAGATTGTAAATTTGAATTTAAATGTGATCTTAAGTTAATCTGATATGTTTCTACAGCTTATATTTTGTATAGCTTCTACAGTCTGTAATTAGGTTTTCCAATAGCATAGTGAGTACCCTTTTAAATTATAATTTTATTGTTCTGAGTTCAAAATAAATTACAAGTATATTTTTCAGTTAATACAGGACGATCCAATTTTAACGGTTTTCATATTATTATTTATGAAAGAAGTAATTATACAAACTCACAAGTTTGCATAAGCCTCTGTGTAATATTTTAAATGGCTTTGTTTTTATATGCTGTTTAAAGTCTCGAATAACAGCATTTCGTTAAACTCTTTTCTAAATTGTTCAGAACCTTTAATTTAAATGTATTTACAATTGTATAGCAGTGTTAAATTATAGAGTTCTGTTGATCATTGTTGGATATTAAGGAATTTTCTGCCTTTTATGCAAAATAAACATAAAATGTGGTCATACCTACTTTTTTGTTAAGTTACCAAAATTATCTCTATACAGGGCTGAGTGAAATACCAGGCTGAGCGTGCATTAGAAATTTCTAGAGAACTACAATATCTAGATCGGAGATTTTTTGCACATCATTGCTTCAGGAGATCTATCGATTAAAAATATTTTCAATATGGCGGCACTTCCGGAAATACCGGAAGTTGACAGCAACGTTCTTATTTTATATGGGCATCCCTATTTTTTATTACATACCCAAATTCTACATAAATTTTTATGAATTTTAATATCAAACATTCTCAGTCTTGTAATATTGGCCGTAGCTGTCATGAAACTGAGCTATAAATAATTTTTTCAAATGGAAATCTTTTTTTATTTCACTAATCAAAAAGGTTTTTCAATTCGTTACTTTTTGATTATACAATGTCCTTATACCTAAAATAAATCGTTTTTACGTTATTTAAAATTTAGGTTTAAAGCGTATTTTTTTCTTGATTTTATCTAGCTTCCTTTGGCTTTAAGTGTCAAACAATCAGACAATTTATGCTCTTCTGTCAGAAAACTTCAAATAATTAGTTATTAATTCGTATATTACAAAAACTGCTGATTAAAACTTTATAAAGTGTATTTATACAAACATATCTGCTGGTTAAAATCAAGTAAAATATACGCTTTACAACTAAATCTTAAATAACTTAAAATCGATTTATTCTTAGTATAGGAACATGGAAAATCAAAAAGTAACGAATTAAATAACCATTTAAAATAAGAAAGTCGCTGTCAACTTCCGGTATTTCCGGAAGTGCAGTCATATTGAAAATATTTTTAACCGATAGATCTCCTCAAAAGCTCCGATCTAGATGTTATAGTTCTCTAGAAACTTCCACGCTCAGCCTGTGACACCCTGTATATTAAAGACAAATATTATACTTTTTCTCAAAAAATATTTGATTTAAAGCTTATGGTATATTTTATTGCCATTATAAGGAAGTATGTGTTTAATAGAAAAATTAATTCCTTGCAATATTGTATACTAAAAATAAAGCAATATTAATTGTATGCTTCATTTAATTTTCTACAGTGGGGTGGGTAAATAGTTTTACAGAATTAAATTGACGCATACATAAAACATAAATGCTATATCAAGATTTACAACTAACAACTATATACAAAACATACCTTGTGATTCAAAAAATTTCATGATAAAGTTAGGCTTTGACTTAGACATTTCGAAACATTCTAATGTAATTTCGCATAAGAACTGTTTCTGTGTCAAAAAAAATATCGTTAAATATGGTTTAGAAAAATATGTATTTCTTTTTGTAACACCCTGTAAGTATATATGAAACAAAACCATTTTTTAGAATATGAAGTTTAAACTTCAGAATAATATTTTTGTTAGAGGATAAATGAATAACAATTCAGTTTAAGAGAAAGATTGAAATACCTTGAAATAAACAATTAAAACCAAATTTAAATTGCATTAATAAGTTTCGCGTGTATGATGATACTTCATATAACACTTTTGAACATATCCAATTAACTTTCTTAGGTAACAAAATATATAAGTGTATTATTGATGTATAAATATATAAAACTAATATATAATACTCAGCGGAGTAATTTTTAAAAATTAGTGTGAAACAAATTCTGTGTCGATAGTTTCATCACACTGACATTGCTTAATTTAGCTGTTTTATACTTTTGTATTATGTGATATTTCATGCCTAAAATGCATTAAATTGTGTTATTAAAGTTACTGAATATGTGCTATTTAGATTTAAAACTTATTTATGTTAAAAGACTGTACACAAAAAACTTTTTAATATGAGTATTTTGCCTTTTAACTACGACGCTTTAAAATTTATTTTTGATGAATAAAATATCATTATCAAACATAACAAGATTTTTTTATTTAAAAATAGATATTTATAAACAAATATAAAGATTACATCCTTATTTAATAAACCTTATGCTTAAATGTAATACCTTAACAATATTTATTTAACTTGATCCTTTAATAAATATATATCATAACACTTCTTGAGGCTTGGACTAGTTTTAATTCTTTTCACTAAACAAATAATAAAAAATATAAGCTTTCCCTTTTGGGATAATTGACATAATATTTTGCTTAATATTCGGAGAAATATTATTCTAATGATCGTTTTAATTTGAAATGTACTCTTTCATTACATTTAAACTTTTGATTAAACACATTTTAATATCACTTAAAAACATAAATTTATTTTAATCAAATAAAATAAATATTGGCATTGTTTTTTTTTCTCTACTTGATTGTAAAATTCACATATATAGGGTATGTCATAAAGTTTGGGATTTTTTTATTATCGAGTTATCGAAAAATTGAAATGATAACATATCGAAAAGAGTAAAAAAGGAGGAGTTGTTCAGAATATGATTATATTGTTTATTAAAAACTTATTACTGTATGATCAAAAAAACGACCGTCCATTGGCTCGAAAATAATGTTAAATGGCATTCCCTATATAATTTTAATTTATTCCCAATATTTTTATTCAGAAGCTTCAACAAACTGAGTAAAATACCCAGATTTAAGAAAAATGTCGGAAGTGACAAGACAGGTTCTTTAAAATTATTTGTTATTTTCTATAGGCCATTGCAGCAAAGTTGCTAGTCTAAAAATTAACATTTTATACTTTTTTACTACACTAATATTTTTATTAGACTTGGCTTTATATTTTGCAATCCTAACGAAAAAATACTATTTGATATTTGAAGAGTAATCCGAAAACTTATATTATTGAAAGTTCCCTGCATATTTATGAACCTTTACTTATGGTACAGAGCTGTAAAATAAAATTTTCCTCTTTATTAGATATTTTTATTATTAAAATTTTTCTTTTATTAAAAAGTGTTAGACTTTTTTCGATATTTGGTCACCTAACCTTACTTTTTATATATCTGAAGAGAGGATTGTTAATGAGGATTTTTGTAATTTGCAACTACGAAAGTTGTCGTATGTCTATGATGTAAAATATGACGAAATTGAATTTTTTGTTATTGAAAATGTATTAATATTTTTTCAATAACGCAACATTAAAAAATTTGTTGCAAACTTTTGACACCCTGTATGTCGTATACCCGATGCGTCTCAAAAGTGGCTCACCCCTATAACTTTTTTATTTTTTCAGATAAATAAACGAGATTTGGTATTTTAGTATATAACATAAATTAGGATTGATTGGTGTATTCAATTGTTTTTGGTCACTTCCTGTTTCACCGGAAATGACTACAACTTTTGATTTTTAAATGGCACCCTCTGTATTTTTTTTTTACTTTATTCGACAGAAAATGACATTCTGAATAGAATGACATATCATATGTCAACTTTAATAAAAAATTGTATTTTAAAATTCAATCTAGAGTGCCATGGCTATGTTAAAAACACTAATTCTTCATCAAGGAGGCTTGGAAAAATAGATTTGCTGGTCTAATGTTCTTAGTGTCTTATCCTGGCCAGTTAGAAAATGCTCAAATCGTATTTTTAATCATATCTCAATTTTTTAAAATGGAACGAGGGTGGCTCATTAGCATATTTGAAAAAAGCATTTTTTTATGAATAATTTGATATCACACACAAAGTATAATTCAAGTCAAATTTTCGTTACGAACTGCAAGTTATAATTTCAAATAAACCATATGCGAAAATATCAAAAGTTGACATATGATATGTCATTCTATTCAGTGACATTCTCTATCGAATAAAGTAAAAAAATACCGGGGTGCCATTTAAAAATCAAAAGTTGTAGTAATTTCCGGGGAAACCGAAAGTGACCGAAAACAATTGAATACGTGAATCAATTCTAATTTATGTCATATACTAACATACCAAATCTTGTTTTTTTAACTAAAAAAATAAAAAAGTTATAGGGGTGAGCCAGTTTTGTGACGCACCCGGTATAACTCATCGACGCAAAGGTATAAAAAACTTTAGTAGGTGGGTACAAAGTATGAATGGCATCTTCCTAAGGCTAAGTTCTTAAGACTAACAATAAGGGTAAAAGACAACCATAATTGGTACCTTACTTTGTACCTTAATAGTCTGAATATAAAAAGAAATAAAATATAGTTAACTAGTCAACATTTAGTATTTGAAATACTTCATAAGGCTAGTCTCGGTTGTAACAAATTCCACGCTCTGTGAACTTGAACTTTGGTATATTCAACTTCCCACTGTGGAGAAAAAACAACATTGGTGTTATTAATATATTCTGAATTAGTTGGTTGCGCTTCGATCCTCAACTTGGCCTGGTCTTCTGTTAAATTATTTCGTTTAACTAATCTGTCAATTGCTTCATTTGGTGGAACTATTGTAGTCCAAACCTAGAAAGAAATATATTTAAAAAATGGATTATTTATTAGATTGCATCATACCTCATGACAGAATTTATCCCATCCAGCAAGGCACAAGATAGCTGCTTCAACACAAACAACAGCTTCTCCAGATTCATTTATTTTATGGCGTACTTCCTTTGCAATAGCGGGCCACATAATTTCATTTAATTTGTTTAGTTGATCTGTATTTTTAAAAACCAATCCTCCTAAAATTCTTCTGTCAATTTCACCCTCAGGACTAAGAATCTGAGATCCAAAATTATTCACTACTGGATCGTAACATGGTTGTCCTTTTTCATACAACTTGTGGCCAATTTTATCACAATTAATAACAGGAACATTTAAATTTTCTAAATGACTGGCAACACCCGATTTTCCACTAGCTATGCCACCTACAAAAAATATAAAATCAGTCTACAAGCATAACGCAGTAAGTTACATCATATTGTAATAGACTTAGTGCATTAAAAGTATTACAAATTCTTCCTTTTTCTATTGAACAAAAATAGTAATGTTTTTTGCTAACATTTTAAGTGGCATTACTTATTGTGACATACCTGTTAGGCCAATAACATACGGCCTTTTCGGTATTTCCTTTTGTACAATAGGGTTTAATAAGGTACCGAGAAGTCGCAGTCTTAAATTACTGGAACTCACTTTAGTTTCTTCCTTTGGATCTGGATTTGGCTCTTCAATATAGGGTATTGGAATAATTTTTAATTCTTTTAATTGTTTTTCCCTGCGTACTAAGTTAAATAAAACAGGTAAACTAATGTCATTTGAGCTGAAAATTAACTTACATTCATTAATTTTTTCTGCTCCTCGAATAGTTTCCTCACTTACCATTATTAGATCCATAGTTGGATCAATAATGGCTGGACCAAAGGGATCAGAAATCTTGCATATGTCATAATGTAATTCGGGGCATATATCAGATACAAAATTAAATACATTATTCACTCTTGTGTTAACATTCTGTATCAATTCCCACAAAAGCTTCCCTAAAAATTTAAGAAATAATTTAGTAATTAATCAAACATTAATTATTTATAGAATTTCTATTTATAGAACTCTATATTACTGTATAAATTCTTACCATGTATCATATTTTCCTCTGTTATTCCTACAGTAACTTTTTTAGATGCCCTCAATATAGCATCACTTAGAAGTAATTTATGAGCTGTATGTAGTCTATCAAAAGTTCCTACAAAATTTCCCAAAAAAGTAGGTATATTTTGTTTACAATTTTAGTTTTTTACCTCCTAAAACGACATGATTGTAAACATTACTGTCAGTATCTGAAGAAGTACTTTCAGTTTCTTCTGAATCTTCACATTCTATAGTAAGTGTGTTATGATCATTTGATACATTTGATATTTTAGTACTTATAAAACTCTCAATATCTGCTTTGGTGTATTTCTTATCAAATATAATAATGTCTATAGGATTTTGTGTATGGATTTGTGAAATATTGTGTTTAAAACTAGACAGTAAGACCCGTACATCTAAATTGTTGCACTGTTTAGTAGCCTAAAAATTCAAAAATTTCAGTTGAACTTTAAAATATAAAAACGTGAAACATACCTGAGAATAAATGCAAAACACGGTACGACTCAGTTTTGGTGTAGTAAACATGTTTGGATGAATAGAACCCAAAGGATCATTCAGGGCTGATAGCAATTGTACATACAAAGTATTCTTTACTGCTTTTTGAGCATCACTAAGCAATTTGGCTATATGTTTTGGATTTGAGACCACCAACAAACCCGTTTTTGCTAACATAGTTATATTAAGATGTTTTATAGATATACTTGAATAAAAAATACAATCCAATGTAGACCTAAAAATTACACAAAAAATTGAAATATGAGATTACAGAAAAGCCAAAAGTTAATCCAAACATTCTCTCTACAAATTTAATTGGCTGAAGGTAAATAACAAGACTACTTACTAGCCAATCATGTATAAACTGTAATGGAAAAAATTAGGATGATAAAATCAAACTTTGAACTCATGATTTTTGTTTTGTCGTAAAAGTCATATACGTCACTCAATGCCTTCTATTAAAAGATCAGCCTACGGGCGAGATTTATGACGTCACGCTAGTTAGATATAACGGATTAATAAATATGTTGTAGAATACATGGAAAACATAATTATTCCTCAGATTTTTGGTTTGTATTTTAAAAATGATATAGTTTAAATGAAATATACATAATATACAGTTAATAACTACAACATATATACCTATTTATAGTAATAAATACTTTGGCAAATAAACTATGAACCATACTATGCAGCAAATGTTTTACAATGTACAAATAATGTATAGGTACATAAGATAATGGGTAAAATGTAAATATATTTTAAATTTTGGGGTTTGAAAATCGATCTAATTTAACAAAAAACATTGAATATCTACTAATAGTGATGTATTATTATTTGCATTCACAAAATTTATATGTATATTTTGCAAGTATCAATGTTCGAAAAATTATATTTACAAATAATACAATATTATCTAAAAAGGCGTCAGCGATGGCTATGAAATGAAGATCGCTGGCATTTATATGTTAAATTATTCTAAAATTTTTGATTTTCTTGGGATTTTTAGGTTCGGGAAAAACGCTGATTAAGTTTTCATTTGGGTTTTCATTATTTTTATTTGGTTTAAAAAAAACGTTTCGGCTAACTATAGCCTTCACAGTGTTGTGTCATATGAGAAAAATAGTGTCGAATATAATCCAAAAATTACATATACAATATAATTCACACCTCATAATGTTTACTGCAATTAATAAACTAATATAAACTTATCAAAAGATGACCACATATTTTTTAAAATTATTATTCTTAACACTAAAATTATCTACATTGACTATGGAGTACGCAGTAAACATTATGTGCGTGGTGTGCATATTTTATATGCAATTTTTTGGATTATATTCGACACTATTTTTTCATATGACACAACACTGATGGAGGCTATAATGTTAGCCGAACCGTTTTTAAACCAAATAAAAATAATGAAAACCAAATGAAAAATCAATCAGCGTTTTTCCCGAACCTAAATTCCAAGAAAATCAAAAATTTAGAATATTTAGAATCAAGGTTCAAGAATATCAAATTTTCCAAGATTGTAAAATTCTAGTTAATTATTTTATGTGTACAGTTATTTAGGGAATGTCATCGATGTTCATTTCCAAGCCAACTAGACGCCGATTTTTTCGATAATACGGTATAATTCTTACGTAAAATGTAAATAACATTAGACCAATTAAAACAAAGAAATATGAATTTCTTAGTATTTTTAGTAACACCTTTATTCTTAAAACTTAATTTTGTATTATGCAAATATACCAATTTTATTGTTATTTTATTCATATTGTATTCAGCCATCACTTAAATATTTGATATTAATTTGGTATTATAAATAATCAATACTATTCATTAAAATTACTGAACAAATATATGTTATGCTTAACATACATTATATATTATCAAACAAAAACACATTCTTCTTTTAAACTGTATCAGTCTTGTCTTTACAAAAATCTTTTTAAAATTTGAACTCAAAATAATAATCTTTTCATGATCTCTAATACACATATTCTTTATTTTTCCCTAGATCATAATACCTACTTACGTGTTTGAATCTATCGAAGCTGAACCAGCAACACTTGGAGTGGAGATTCCACAATATGAATAAAATAAACATAATTGTCCAGTTTTCATTAATACCATCATGGGAGAATATTATTTTTTAAATTTATTAAAGATATTTTCAATAAAATTCTCTTGATTTATAACTCGTACCCACTTTTCTTGCTCTTCCGGACACTTTAGGCTGCCTAGTATAATAACTATCCTTAGTAACCATCCTTTCCACCAGGAACACAACAAAGATGAGGCATAGCACCAATAACACACTCCACTTAAGCTTTATTGATGAATTGTTAGAGTCTTAAAAAAACACACACAAAAATCACGATAAGTAAAAAATGTATGGGCACTTTTAGGTTAAATCACTTGCACAACGTGTAATTTTTAAAATTTCTATTTTTTTGTGCGAAACCGAGAGTGACCATATATCTGGTAGTAGTTTATGTCAGTTCAACACCAAAATAATTAGTTTTTTGCACTACAATAATAAATAATACCAAAAATCAAAGAGTTAAAACCAAAAATCAACCGACAAAATATGAAACGGAATCTAACCCAATATCTAAGTATGTACAGCTGATGAAGTAAACAAAAGTCCGCCCGGAGGCTGATCTTTTAATAGAAGGCATTGCGTCACTGTAATGTGAAAAAATCGTACCAACTGCAAATTTATTTGGTTATAAAATTATTTAGTAACTTTTATAAGGCTAAATTATGTAATTATAGATAGCAATGGATAGCAATTAATTTATCTTATAGTACAAGAAATATCTAAGTATATATACATCTCTATATATACCTTATTTACAAAAAAATTTAAGCATTATATTATTATTATACAAAACTTCAAAAAAAATTGCTGGTTTTATATTTTATTTATTAACGGTTGGCAGTCATAGAATGAAATTAACCTCAAAATAATTTAAAGAGCAACTGACAACAGACGATCAGCTGCGTTTGTTGATATTTTTGTGTTTATTTTATGTTTATTTGAATCGTCAGAACTTAATTTTTAAAGTTTACTTATCGTTCTTTTCTTATTGTTTTTCTTATTTATAATGTCTGCATTAAAATATTACTTTGATTTAATGTCTCAGCCTTCAAGAGCCGTTTATGTATTTTTAAAAATTACTAAAATACCCTTTGAACCCTACGCTGTGGCTTTAAGAAAAGGTAGGTATATTATGTTGATTAATATGCATTAAAAATTACTATTTGTTTAGTATAATATAGGGGTATAATAGAATGAAATGAGAAAAAATAATCATTATTAATTTAAAAAGAATGTAGCACTTTAACAGTGGCGTAGCTAATCTCTCTCTAGAGATAAACCTGAGTTCCTCCTAGTGTGTAGTTACTTTTATTAGATATTAGCTGGTTATTAGCGATATTTATATACAATTAAATAGTTAATTTTTATAGTAGATGGACTAATTTATTTTAAAATATATTTACACCGCTTTCAGATGGAGCGGACAGTACGCGCGGATTTTTTTTCAATATATGGAGCATACGCGACCCATGTGAAATCGTTCATATAAGGGGTTTTCGGAAACTGTGATCTGATTGATCGGATTGATAGGATTACTAATCCAGACGTTCGAAAAGTGATCTCAAAACGAGTCAATGCGTTCGGAAAGTGATCCGAATAACTCGATTTTTTTGCCATATGTTGTGATCCTACTAACCCTCCTAACGAGGTGGGTAGAATTAATCAGCTGATCATTTCTAGGGTAATTTTAAACGTAACGGTCCGCATAGAAGTATAAAGTTTTTTAATAACCGTTTTGTCCGAAATCCCTTTATCTAATGTTGATCAAATACATGATATTTTCTTAGTGTACCGCAAAAATGAGCCAATCAGCATAGCATCAAGTAACTCTAGATTTTAAATAAATAAAAAACCAACAAGTAATTCTAAAGATACTGATTGCGAAAAAGCACTATCGGAGACACCCAATAGGAAAAAAATTAAAACTCAACTACAGAAAAGTGGTTTAAAACATTTAGATTAAAATAGCCAGGCATAATGAAAGAATAGAACTTGATAGACAATTCTGAAAATTTTCATCACAATTGATAGATAAAAATTGATATATTTTTTTATTATTAATATGATGGAATGTTTATTATGTATTGTTGGCAGTAAATAAATGATTAAAATAAAGTTTATAGTGTTTTTGTTTTAAATGGCATAATTTTAAAAAAAGCCTAAAATAAAACACATTTTGTTTTTATAAAAAATAGTCTTACAGAAACTAAAAAGTATACTTAAAGCAAAACAAATAGGATAAAAATAGATCTTATACAATCGTTAAGGGGGGATATTAGGATTATTTGTTTAATTTATCTCTTTTTACGAAATACCGTATGATCGAATAAAAACGGCGTCCAGTTGGCTTGGAAATGACAATCGATGGCATTTCCTATATAAATTTACATATAAAATGACAGCGATCTTCATTTCATAGCCATCGCTGACGCCGTTTTTATTCGATCATACGGTATATTTAAATGTGACTGTTAACCCGGTAAATCTAATTATCCAACCGTTCGTAATTAAACTACCAGCTGATTACTCTCAGCACTGATCTTGGAACAGCTGATTAGTAAACTACCTAATCTAGGATTTTATTTCCGAAAACCCCTATAAGCTTTGTTCGGGTTCTTGTCATTACCGATTCTGAACCGTCCTAGGACTCTGCAGCGCATGCGCAAATGAAATAATTTATCCATATTTCCTTCTGTGCATACGCATCACAGTTCTAGGACGGTTCAGAATCGGTAATAAGAAAAACCCGAACAAAGCTATAAACTTTGTTCGGGTTCTTGTTATTACCGATTCTGAACCGTCCTAGAACTGTGATGCGTATGCGCAGAGGGAAATATGAAGACATTATTTCATTTGCGCATGCGCTGCAGAGCTCTAGGACGGTTCAGAATCGGTAATAACAAGAACTCATGGAACTCGCGGACGGTACGCGCGGACGCTCCGCTCCATCTGAAAGCGCTGTTACTTACCTATTTAAAATGGTAATAAGTTTGAAGGTCAACATCAAAATTATTTTGGGTAAAGGTGTGGATCCGGTGGCTGACCTTGAAGCCCATATTTGCTGCATTTGATCATCGATACTACGCAAGCGCACATCGTCGATGTTGCCAAATTGCAGTTTATTTTCGAATTATTTGCAGTTGAACATTTTTTTTGCGTATTAATCAATAATACTACAAATTCTATAATTAATTTTATAATTTCAGATTTATCTTGTAATGAAGTTCATAAAATTTCTGGGCCACCCTGTATATTATATTAATATTATACTAGAATAATAGAGACTTGATTCTCTTGTAATAATGACAGGCAGGGTATTTTATTGTTAACTCATTATTGTAATGAACTTCATTAATGTTTCTATTGTTGAATTAAATAAGTTAAATATTTAATTTCCATTTTGTAAGAGAGTTTTGATCGGTTTTGGTCGCCGTGGTTCGGTGCGAGAAACCGAGACGTTTACGCCGCTCTCCCTACCAGTGCAGGTTGAGTGGAGGGACCGTAGTCGAGTACCTCGGCAGTACTGGCACTACAGAGTGAGTTGTGTGGTCGCACGTGAACAGTGAAGTTCGAGTCCGGGTGCCCTGCCAAGTGTCCTGCTGCCAGCTGCCAGCCGCCTGCCGCCTGCCGCCGTATTGTATAAGGTAAGCACCCACCGCCAAAGTGATCGAGAGTAGGTCGTATTCTTTTTTATTGTTAATACCGTTTACTTTACTGCCTTGACGCGTTATAGGGATAAAGGGAGACAGAGATAGTTAGAACGCGCGATCGCATTAGCTAGCAAAAACTTGTATTCGTTCAGGGCCAACCGTCTTCTAGCAGGTAGGGGAGCTGAACGGATCCATACGAAGACCGATTTCTTTTATTAAAAAGGGAGACAGAGATAGTTAGAACGCGCGATCGCATTAGCTAGCAAAAACTTGTATTCGTTCAGGGCCAACCGTCTTCTAGCAGGTAGGGGAGCTGAACGGATCCCGTGGACGCGAAGACCGATTTCTTTTATTAAAAAGGGAGACAGAGATAGTTAGAACGCGCGATCGCATTAGCTAGTAAAAACTTGTATTCGTTCAGGGCCAACCGTCTTCTAGCAGGTAGGGGAGCTGAACGGATCCCGTGGACGCGAAGACCGATTTCTTTTATTAAAAAGGGAGACAGATAGCGGTTAAGGTAGTACAGTAAATACCCGGGTCGCGAATGTTCTTGGAACTAAAGCAGGATCTCGTCTATCCCGCGACTGGTTCTGTAGTTCCCGTATTCTCATCAGGAGCGCCGTGGGATCTCGCCGACATCCCGAGGTGGTCCTGACCGGGCGGTGTGGACTGCGCTTATCCAGGCGACTAACCGAGACGCCGTTTCGTTCTACTGCGCACGATCCAGGGCTCGCGTGCGTACCTATCCCACAGGACTCCGTTTCGTCCTACTGCGAACGATTCAGGGCTCGCGTGCGTACCTATCCCACAGGACTCCGTTTCGTCCTACTGCGACCGATTCAGGGCTCGCGTGCGTATCTATCCCACAGGACGCCGTTTCGTTCTACTGCGCACGATTCAGGGCTCGGGTGCGTAATTATCCCACAGGACGCCGTTTCGTTCTGCTGCGAACGATCCAGGGCTCGCGTTTGTTTATCCCGGGACGTCTGTAATGCTGGATTCAGAGTTCCGTAGCCGTAAGACGTAAGCCGTATCGTTAGCCGTAAGACTTAAGACGCAAGGAAAGCAATTCATAGTTGCCGTAAGACGTAACGATAACTTCATCGTAAGCGTGCGCATTACCGTTTTTAATAGGTTATGTTGTTGTTTGGGTTGTGAATGTTGTGAATAAAACTATAATACTCCTTATTTATTTTGTTATTATTAATTTAATTGAACTAAAATGGTCACGGACAATTATATTTTCGTTGCCGAAGTGAAATATCTGTGAAATATATTATAAAAGTTGTAGAAATGGCTACCGAGTACCACCGAACCTAGCCGACAACACCCGATTCGATAAGACGTAACGTAAGAATTAAAATTGGTTCATTTCTTACGTCTTACGGCATTCGGCTTACGGCATACGGAGATCTATGAACGCAATCATATGATTGTGAAGGTCGATATCCCTTGCGTCTTAACGATACGGCTTACGTCTTACGGCTACGGAACTCTGAATCCAGCATAACGACGTCGCCGACGTTTAGAAAGTCGGGTTATAAAATAGTATATCGCTCCGGTACGTACACATCTGTGTTTACTAGGACGCCGTTAAGTTAGACGCCGGTTAGAAACTCGCGTCGTTTTATTTACTAGAACGTCATGTCAAAAACGCGCTTTGAATTCGCGTGATTAAATCGGACAGTGAGTTGCATATCGAGATTATACGGTCAAAACTCTAGAGGTGCTCGATTGTTGTTGTAAATTTTATTTTACGAGTCATTAACTATAAATTTTCTTTCACTTTCACTACAATGTAAAGTCGTGAAACTTCCTGGGGTATTTAGCATATAGTTAATTAATTAAATAAAGCCTTAATGTTATGTTATAGTTAACTGTGTGTTTTATTTCTTTTCATTTCATCACTCCCTGGTATCTCCACTGTATAAAAGCTACCCGTATTGGCGAAACGTGGACCTCTTCCACTATAAAGAACAGAGGTGGCGCCCGAGAGATTTAAATTTACTACTGTACGCCAGTAAGGCTATTTATTTTTCACTGAACCAAAGAAAAATAAATTGAGACTCTTACAATCTTGATATCCAAAATTAAGGTAAGAAGGATAATGAAGTTTGTGAAATGAAAGTATTATGAATATATAAAATTGTAATAATAATAACATTTATTTATATATTTACATTAGAATTAAAATTTATCATTTACGGATTTTTTCTTAATGGTTTTAAACTTATTAGAATTATTTTATTTCTTTTGAAGTTATTTAATTTCTAGTTATTTACAGGCCACAATAGTTTTGATTATATGTATTGATGTTTTGAAATTACTAAGTACCATATGACGACTCTTATTATAGAACAATACACGCCAATCGGAGATTGAGGTAACATTTTACCTATAATGTTACTAATATAATATACTTTGATTATAATTAATGTTTGTATCATAATTTCTTAAAAATATCAAGTTAGTGGATTAATAGCAATTTTAGACATATATTTTATCGAAGAGTGTGTTGATAAGACTAAAATAAGCTTTATGTTTTATCTTTTTCTCTTTAGAAGGGAGATGGTTTGTATCGTAGAATACATTACAGTATTTAATATCGTGTCCTTTGATATTCTTTTCTTAATTTACTGTAATTTCTTGTTTCCTATAATGCCAAATCTTGACAATATGGTGAAGGTTGAGTTTTGATCTTATTAGTTTTATAATAATAATAATAATAATAATAGAAATACAAGACTAAATTAAGACTTAGTTTGTGATTTATATTAAGATCTTTCTTATAATATTTGTTATGTCTTAATCTTAATACTATATTATGCTTGGTCTGAAAAATAAATGTTAAAATATTCTAATTTGGCATATCCTATTCCATCCTTCCATTAGGAAAAAAATGGTTTATAAATCATATATGCTAAGAAAATCACATAAATTATGTGTAAGATTAGAGAAATCTTAATGTAGCAGAAAAATTAATGCAATATAAAGCAGAATTAAACAAGGTAACTGTTAATGTTGCTGAAGCTGATTCTGCAATTTTAATTACGGAGGCTAAAAGGCCTTTTAAGGTTTGAAGGTTTACAGGTTACAGGGGGGTATAAACTACATTACATGTAGTTAATGTAGTTTATGTAGAGGGTGTAGTTTATGAAACCTATGTATGCGACTTTCAAATATTAAAGATTTGAGGTGAGGTTATAATACGTTGAAGCTTTAAAAAACACAATGTATTTAAGAAAACAGAAGAAATATGGCTTTAAATATAATATTCACACATCATATTATTTAGACCCCTCATACAAAGTAAAATTATTCATAATATCAATACATAGTTTATTAACGTAGTTTTCATGTAGTTAATGAACGGGAAAAGACGTAGTTTTTGAAGAAAAACTACACGTAGTTAATCAGGCAAATTACGTCTTAATTAACTACTTCCAAACCCTGGCTACAGCATTTAAAAAATAAAAAAAAAAAAGAAAAAACTTGGACACATCCCTTTTAATTTCCCGAATTTTTAATAAAGCACTTTTTAAACGTAGCATAATAATCTAGCTAGGAATCTAGAGTTTTATTTCTATATAATTTTATTGACTATGAAAATACATAATAAGCGTTCACGTGTTGTGCAAAATATTAAAATAATAATATAAATAATATACCGCGTACTATGATTGAAAAAAAAAATAGCGTCAGCGATGACTATGAAATGAAGATCGCTGTCATTTTATATGGGAAATGTCCTCAAGCGTCATTTCCCAGCCAACTGGACGCCGTTTTTTCGATCATACGGTATATATTGACAAAAAACACTGAAAAGCACATATTTGTTTTCTACTGAAAATAATTCCAAAATAACTCGCAATCTGGCAACATCGAAGATGTGCGCATGCGTAGTATCTGTAACTATATGCAGCCAAAACTCGTTTCAAGGTCAGCCACCGGATCCACACCATTACCTTATTTTGAGGTAAAAGGGTTTTTAAGCTGTGCCACTGTATTTTAATGAAAATAATTTTATTTATTTGGTAATGGTGTGGATCCGGTGGCTGACCTTGAAACGAGTTTTTGCTGCATATAGTCACAGACACTACGCATGCGTACATCTTCAATGTTGCCTGATTGCAAGTTATTTTGGAAATATTTTCAGTAGAAAACAAATATGTGCTTTTGAGTGTTTTTTTTTGTCAATATATACCGTATGATCGCAAAACGGCGTTCAGTTGGTTGGGAAATAACGATTGAGAGCATTTCCCATATAAAATGACAGCGATCTTCATTTCATAGTCATCGTTGACGCCATTTTTTTTTCAATCATAGTACGCGGTATATTATTTATATTATTATTTTAATATTTTGCACAACACGTAAACGCTTATTATGTATTTTCATAGTCAATAAAATTAAATAGAAATAAAACACTAGATTCCTATAATTAATCTAATTGCTCTAGATTATTATGCTACGTTAAAAAAGAGCTTTATTAAAAATTCGGGAAATTAAAAGGGATGTGTCCAAGTTTTTTCTTTTTTTTAATTTTTAAATGCTGTAGCTCTATGTCATGTTCATAATAGTTTTTTCTAACATTCCATCAAAACTACGGAGGCCTTAAAAGGCCTTTTAGCCTCCGTAATTAAAATTGTAGAATCAGCTTCAGCAACATTAACAGTTACCTTGTTTAATTCTGCTTATACATATATTGCATTTTTCTGCTACCTTAAGATTTCTCTATTCTTACACCTAATTTATGTGATTTTCTTAGCATATATGATTTATAAACCATATTTTTCCTAATGGAAGGATGGAATAGGATATGCAAAATTAAGATATTTTAACATTTATTTTCCAGACAAAGCATAATATAGTATTAAGATTAAGACATAACAAATATTATAAGAAAGATCTTAATATAAATCACAAACTAACTAAGTCTTAATTTGGTCTTGTATAAACACAGGTATAAAAGTAATAAGATCAAAACTCAACCTTCACCATATTGTCAAGATTTGGCATTATAGAAAACAAGAAATTACAGTAGATTAAGAAAAGAATATCAAAGTACACGATATTAAATACTGTAATGTATTCTACGACACAAACCATCTCCCTTCTAAAGAGAAAAAGATAAAACATAAGTCTTATCACCACACTCTTCGATAAAATATATGTCTAAAATTGCTATTAATCCACTAACTTGATATTTTTAAGAAATTTTGATACAAACATTATAATCAAAGTATATTATATTAGTAAAATTATAGGTAAAATCACAGTAAAATGTTACCTCTATCTCCCATTGACGTGTATTGTTCTATAAGACTCGTCATGATAGTACTTCAATACATCAATACATATAATCAAAACTATTGTTGCCTGTAAATAACTAGAAATTAAATAACTTGAAAGAAATAAAATAATTCTAATAAGTTTAAAACCATTAAGAAAATATCCGTAAATGATAATTTTTAATTCTAATGTAAATATATAAATAAATGTTATTATTATTACAATTTTATATATCATTCCCTAATTTTGGATATCAAGCTAAATCTGAAATTATAAAATTAATTATAGAATTTGTATTATTATTGATTAACACTCAAAAAAAATTTCAACTGCAAATAGTGCGAAAATAAACTGCAATTTGGCAACATCGACGATGTGCGCTTGCGTAGTATCGATGATCAAATGCAGCAAATATGGGCTTCAAGGTCAGCCACCGGATCCACACCTTTACCATTTATTTAATTAAACATTTTAGGTGAACATCGCACTGATGATTTCAAACAGAATTTCAATAAATTTCAAAAAGTGCCTTTTATTCATCATGGAGATTTTAAATTAGCAGAAAGGTTTTAAAGTTTAAATTACCTATTGATTTACTACTTTCATGTATATTATTCTTTCAGTTCTTATCAGTGGCGCAACTAGAGGGGGCTAGGGGGCTTAGCCTCCCTCCCCCCAGATGACTGGTGCAGATCAATTAAAATTGTTTTTAACATCAAATCAATATTATCTTATAGTGACCTAAGCCTCCCCAAAAAGACTTGAGCCTCCTTAAAAATCTGTATCTAGTTGCGCCACTGGTTCTTATACTCTATTAGAAATATATTTTTTATTTTAGTATAGCAATTGTTAGGTATCTCTCAAAACAATATAAAGATAACGTACCAGATTATTTATATCCCTCAGGCGCTAAAGAACAAGCCAAAGTCGATGAGTTTTTGGAATGGCAGCATTTAAATATTAGACTTCATTGTGCTCAATATTTTTGGTATAAGGTAAGAATCTGATATTAAAAGTGTACCATTAAAATTATTTTTCTGGCAGTGGTGGCTCCTGGTAAAAGTTATAAAGGGACCTTAAATTTTAGTAAGATTTTAAATTAATATTTACCTATCTATTTGTTATAAATATTTATGGTCTATCATATGTTCTTTGCTCTTGGCAAATTTTATAATCACTTTTTTATTAAAACAAGTCGCTTTATCTTCAGACTTAAGTGTTTTATATCCGTGATCCCCCTATTTCTGTCCAGATTTATTGCCACGGAAATGTAAGCTGGGAAAATATGGAAAATAGTGCAAAACATGTTTTGTAAAATCTACTAAATTTACGTGTAAGGCTGGTTGCACAGTGGAAGCATCTATTATAAGCATCTACATGCGAATTTTAGAACGCGAGTATGACGCCAGTCTTTGCGCGACCGATCCAAGTTTAACTAGAGGTATGTAGTTCGTGAAAGAACTAGCTCCATTGAACTATTCCGACCCCGGAACGAAAGGAACTAGTTTCTGAATTTTTAAAAGATTAGTTCCTCAGGACCTATTTCGAGGACAGATACTGTGACCCAGTGACGCATCCAGAGAGTGAGTCTGGGAGGGGTAGTGGCAATATTTAGATAAAGTAGGTAATAGATTTAAATTAAATTTTCGCTCAAAGGTATTGTGACTATATATAAAAAATAAACTTAATTTTATTTTATACCACATTTTCTTAATTATAAATTTCTTCCCGGGAGGGGTAATTACCCCCATTACCTCTCCCGTATATGCGTCCCTGCTGTGACCGAGATATAATAATAGGACGGATCGGCTAACGCGATTGTAGCTCGATGCTAGGCGGGTGTGGAGAGTGCCAGCCGTATGTTGTCGGTCTCGGACCGAAAGGAACTAGAGGAACTAAATAGAGACTAGTTCACCGACGGATTGCCAAGCGCGAACGCAGACCGATGCTATAGGCGGGAATGGGCCAGACGTATGTTGTCCCGGACCGATAGGACCTAGAGGGGACCCTTCACGGGAATCTATTCAGCAGTATTCAGTCCACATTCAGTCTGCAGTTCCGAGATATACAAGACGACGGATCCGGCCTTATCTATGGCTGCGACCGGCGTAATTACTACAGAAAATTGTCGTAGATACTGTTTTTAATATTTAGTTTGTTCTTTGAATTTTGAATATTTTATTTCACTTAGTTTTAGCAGTCTTAACCAGAGCATTACAATATACATCGTTTCTTAATGAAATTAATTTCTTTTAGTTTCTTCATAAAAGATACCACTTGCAAAAGGTCTATTTCTTTTTTCTGCAGTAAATGAGATGTAACATAAATTACGTTTTATTGAATGTGGTAGACAATGATTCAGTATTGAAAATAAAAGAATTTCGGACTTTCATTTTCTTTATTTATTTTGATTAACACACTGATGCCTATTTGTGATGACTATTCCAATGTAAAAGGAACGTCAGAAAAGATCAGGCGAATAGTCAAAAAGTATAAAATTAAAACTTGTCTTCAAATCTGGATCGACTCTAAGAAGTGTCCTAACAAAAACAAGACCGGAGTCATCGAAACAACAGAGAGATTGTATCTACCAGCTATCTTGTGAATACGGTGAGTTAGGAAGCTTTGGGTGAGTCGTATATTGGAGAGACTAAACGGCCTCTAAATGTACGACTCACGAGCGAGGATAAAAAACATGTACAAAAAGATGAAACAGTGAAATCAGGTATTGCGGACCATGTTTGGTCAAAACGGCATAATATAAAGTAGTCAAAAGCTCAGGTTGTCCACAGAGAACCCAGGGGCGAATCCTCCATGAATGCAACGCATGCACTGCATGCCTAAGAATGCTTTAAAAATCTACTATTAATAAAGCTCCGCGCGCACTGAATGGATATCGGCGAGAGCGAGCGGCACATAATTTTCAGTTTACGTTGAAATAAATGTAAGCCCGCGCACCGCATTAGATCGGTGCGCTCGGTGCGCTTCGAGCTATCGGCGGTACTCGCGCCATCAGGCGAAATCAGAGAAGGCATGGGAGGGGGACGAATAGTCTACGCCGAGCGACTGTTTTTAGTGGAGCGGTTTTACATTAAACATGTTCGATGAATTATTAATCGAAAGTGTACGAGACCATATCATACTTAATATGCGGTTCTTTATAAAAATTTCTTACAAGCACGTAACCTATATTGTTTACTACACTTATTCAATAACTGAATTAGAAAATCTTCCGATTAAACCCATTTATTTCTCATCTCGTTTTGATTATCTCACATTATTTTGAAAATCGAATTTAAATATCGTCAAAAAACTTATCATATTATTTAATTTGTGGTTTGTTTTGACGTTAGTAATAACAGCTGATAAATAGTCATCCTATGTTACTATGTGGATCGTTCCGTACAAGGTACAAATAGAGAAAATAATATTTATGTTTGAATAAAATATTTGTACATATACCTACGTATGATAGAAAAAAACGGCGTCCAATTGGATGGGAAATGACGATTGATGACATTTCCTATATAAATTTACATATAAAATGGCACCGACCTTCATTTCATGGCTATCGCTGATGCCGTTCCTTTTCGATAATACGGTACTATTTTTTTTTCTTTTTTCAATTTTCTTTGACTTTTTTATTGTATTTTAAGTTTTTAAAATCTTGGTTTTAAGTCAGTAGTGAATTTTTTGTGAACAATGTGCGATAAACATCTCAACATCCATATAAAAGACAACTTCGTCAAGTGCTACGTACTTTCCACACTTCTCTACGGGGTTGAGTCATGGACACTCAAAGTAAGCGCAATGAATAAGTTGGAAGCATTTGAGATGTGGGTATATCGCAGAATGCTGAGAATACCATGGACTGACCGTGTCTCGAATGAACGAGTTCTAAACCAAATGAACAAGGACCGAGAACTCCTCGACATAATAAAAAGAGGAAAGCAGCCTATTTGGGCCATATCATGAGACATAGCAAGTATGAATTCCTTCAGCTCATCATCGAGGGTAAAATTGAAGGAAAGCGCGGACTCGGACGACGGCAATGCTCCTGGCTGAAGAACATCAGAGATTGGACAGGCCTGGACTACAGACATACTTTGCTGAGAAGAGCGAAAAATAGAGAGGAATTTGCCATGGTTGTTGCCGATCTTCACTGAATGGAGAATGCACTTTAAGAAGAAGAAGTGAATAAAACGAAACTTGTGTTTACATTTTGTTTAATGATTGACGTTTCGACTAATTTTAATTCGGCCTTCTTCAGAATCTATAATATACAATACAATTTTATCACTAACAATGTGTTTAATATATATTTTTTTCTTACCACAAACGTAGAAAATTAGTTATACATAAAATTGATCGAAACGTCAATCATTAAACAAAATGTAAACACAAGTTTCGTTTTATTTACTACTGACTTAAAACAAAGATTTTAAAAACTTAAAATAAAAGCTATATATAAATGTTTGTAATGACACTTATTTAGATTAAAAAACTAAAAATAGAAGTTTTATTTGACTATTTTTCATATCTAGCTAAAAACAAAGCTTTTTAAGAACAAAGAACAAATTAAACCCTTTTGAATTATACCAAATTTGTTAAAATCGGTCAAGCTAAGAGTCATGTAGTATATTTTATCCCCATCTTCCACTCTATTTCACTAATTTTATGTGGTTTGTTAACCCTTAACTGGTCCGGCGTCGTCTGACAGACTACGCCAAATAATTAACTCATTCTCATTAGTTACTGGGACCGCCTACAGGATTGGCGTTCCAGCTAATCCTTCCCCTCTCGGTCAACGATTGATAGCCATATTTATGCCCAAACTGGATTAGTTTTTTAGAAGTTATGGCAGAAGATACTTAAGCCGTAGTCTCTCAGACGACGCCGGACCGTTTGTGTAAGATTTTGTGTGTGACAAACTTTCGTAAAATATGGCCGGGCCTTCGAAAAGAGTGCGTTTAGGAGACTCTAATTATGAAGAAACTCTATTAAAATGATATGATGAGGACTGTGACAGTGACAATATGACAATCTACCAGACAAATGCGTTTGACAATGTCAAATATTCCAAGAGAAATATACTTTACAATTGGTAGAATACTTGCAATTCCTGTACAACCAGAACACGCCTATGGGGATATTCTTATCCTAGAGTTCTTATCCTAGAGTTCTTATCCTAGTAAAATACAATGTTATGTCCTAGTTAATTATTTTTAATGCCTAGAATGTACGAATCCATTTTGTAAAACATGTTCAGGAAAACAATGAACTTTGCCTCATGCTGTAACTAAAAACCTTTTCTTTAACTCCAGTTTTACAACTAATTGTTTTTATATATAGTATTAAAAACTTATTTCTATATATGTAAAGACTTTTAGTACTTTGGTTTTATTTTTAAGAGCTTAGTAAAAATCTAATTATTTTTTTCAAATTTATATGTATGTTATTTTATTTTGTACTATATTTTCTTAAAGTTTATATTAATTGAACCCATTTTTGTCTAGATTAGTTCAATACTACATAATATAATATATAATAAAACAAAAAATTTGTTATTTTTTAGTTTTTGTGTTTTTTTTTTAATTTTTAGAAGGCGTAGTCCCACAGACTACGCCGGACCGTTTATGATACATATCTATTACCGGACCAGTTAAGGGTTAAGATCTAAATATATAAATGTGTGTTTGGTTAAGATCTAAATAATATTAATTTCCATCATAAAGCATAAAATATAAAAAGTTGCATAAAAATATAAATAGTAATAATACTTATAATTTTTTGAAATGCCGAATGAATTTGACTAAATTTGAATAAACTTCTCCTCGTCTATGCTCAAATTTATGCTGCACTCTCGACCGTCGATCGTGCGACTCCAGTGCGCGGCTACAATCGACTTTCCGACCGGTCGTGCCGCTCGCTCTCGCCGATACAGGTAAATATTATACTGTGCTACATAATCCCATAATCGGTATCAAAATACGGAAATACTTAATTTTAAATTACTGCATGCATGATTATTATGTGCATTCAATCACAACAGATACGCGAAGCGCGTCGAGGTCACTGACCCACACATCCATTCGACAGGATTCGGCCGCTGCACACTAATATTTTAATTTACTAGCGGAACTTAATTCAAAAGAACAATTTTTACAAAAGTACAAAAATATGACATTTTTTTACAGCTAAATGTTTGAGGAGTTGAACATTATCGGAAAAAATAACATTGGCACCGTTATATTGTTTATATCAACTCTAACTTTGATTTGCAGTTGACATATCTTAAAACAAAATATTGTTAGTCATGCAGATTCGTTATTTATCGAGTAAGTTACAAGTGTTTAATGCTTCTAAAAGAAAAGCTGCGCATATTATTATCGTCTCCAGTTTTCAGCTATTCGACAAGGTAAAGCAAAGCTTAATCCAAGTTAATTCATTATGAATTATTCTCCATTTACTTGGATATGTCAATATGTGATAATATTTTAATAAAATCAAAACTTCACGTTGAGTTTAAAAAATGTATCCACGTGTATCCAAGTAAACATTGCTTTTGTGAAGTTCTTTGATAAATACTTAGAATAAAAATATTTAATTTTTTTGCCCTAATTTGCCCTTTTGATCTATATATGCATTTTCGTTGCAATATGCACTGTAAGCACCCATCTTAAGCTATTATTATGTGGATTATAAACGCGAGTTTATTTGACATATCTAGGAGCGGAATAAAATAATCATTTGAAATTTTTATTCCGCTATAGGTAAAAACTGTTTTTTGATAATATTAGAGTTGCAGTGTTGCCAGATCTAACCCAATACAAAATGTTATGTTATGATAAACCTGGTATATTATTTCATTTTTACGTTCTACCGGCAGCAATTCTAGATCTTTTTCATATGGTAAATGTTTTCTCTATACCTAAATCTACATTCTGGAGATATTTGCATTAAGTCGGTTTAAGACAATGCGTGTATTTGCCGAACATTTAGTGTTTTGACTCATTTGCGTATTGTGTGAACAATGGAATCTTCGTCGAAGGTAAATTCAGTTTATTTTTTTATAATTAACAGTGCTTCTTTCGAATACAAAGAGAATAGGAATAATTCCGAGTTCGAAATCGAGTTCGAAAATGATCATCATAAATCTCACAAATTCGTTAAAACGTCATTTTACTACAAACTGTAGATCGCCATTTTAAACTTATTTAATATCAGTTCTTTTAATTTATATATTTTTTAAATATTTTTTTAGTCACAAAGCTCTCAATATTTACTCGTAGTTATCCCTATGTTTTTTTGTATGAGAGAAATACTAATTTAAATTATAATTATTTTTGGTCCTAATTTGTGCCTAAATTACAAATTAAACAGAACGCTGTTGTAATTAAACATAAATATGTCAAAATGATCCTAAAAATCAACATTTCTCAACATAATATTTACAAATTAAGTGAACTTTTGGGAATTGAAATTAAGTTCCGCTAGATGTTCAAAATATCACAGTGTGCGCTGCTTTCCCGGTAAATGCATGCACGAAACATTATGCATGCTCGCATAATAATTGTTTTGTTTTAGTCGCAGGTTGCAGATCGGGAAAGTTTTTCGCGTCTCTGTTTCGCTGACGAATAGTGTTGTTTTTTTTTCGAGTTTGAGTTTTGGACTTCTGAATAGGTTTTATGGATTTTTTTGTGAAAAAACTAGAAGAATGGAGTTTAATCTATACTAATATACCAAAATGCTTAAGTGACTCACTCACTGATTAATCACGATCCTGCTCAAACCACTCAACGTAAGAAGCTCAATTTTGGCATACAGGTTTATTCTAGGGTGTAGAGGTTCGATAAGAAGGGATTTTTCGAAATTCCAGTTTCAAGGGGATGAAACCGCCTCTCAAATATTACAATGTTTTTTATTTAAAAAACGGTCCCAAAAAACGCTTAAACACGTATATTTTATTTTGTTTTTTACATATTTTAAAAATCTCGTCATTGATCATGATCCTGCTTAAAGCGCTTGGCGTAAAAAGCTGATTTTTGGAAAACGGATTGACTTTAGGGTGTAGAGGTTCGATAAGAAGGGATTTTTCGAAACTCGAATTCTAAGGGGGTGAAACCACCCCTCAAATATTAAGAATATTTTTTATTTAAAAACTGGTGAGTTTTTCGGAAAAACTCTTAAACACGTATATTTTATTTTGGTGTTTTACATCTTTTAAGATTTTTTAAAAATTTATACAGGGTGTTTCATAAAATATGACCATTGAGTAATCGCGATTCTGCTTAAACTGCTTGACGTTTTAAGCTGATTTTTGGCAAATGGACTGACTGTGGGGTGTAGAGGTTCGATAAGGAGGGGTTTCTCGAATCTCAAATTCCAAGAGGGTGAAAACGCCCCTCAACTATTACAATATTTGTTATTGAAAAAACGGTTAGTGTTTCGGGAAAACGCTTGGACACGCATAATTTATTTTGTTTTTTTACATATTTTGAAATTTTTTAAAAAATCATACAGGGTGTTCCAAAAAGTTGGGTAATTTATAGTAACTGCCAAAATATGATAATATCGCCATATTGTTTTTTCTCATGCTGACATAAATGTGAGAAAATTTTATCCAGTTTGTATGTTAATGGCAATTCTTGCTTTGCTTTATCATCACCATTACAAATGATTAATTCGACGTGAACAAAGTCGCGGGTACACGCTAGTTTTAAATAAATCATATTTTCATAGGGAGGGCTGTTTTTTAACGATTTTAAATGATTTCTAGGCGAAAATTGGACCCAGTACCGAAAAAAATCCGCCTTCTGCGGGCTCACGCTTTTTAATATTATTATTACCTCGTAGTGCATGCCTAAAGCAAACATTCATGCAACGCCACTGAGAGAATCTCATTTGAAAAAGCGTAAATTTAAAGAGGCCGTTTTTATTGCAAACAATAACAACATTTTTAGCAACCCTAGTACAGAAATACCTACGATATGGCAACCACTGATAAAACGCTCAAATGCAGGCATTCAATGTGGACAACCTCACGGTTGACTGCACCCCACTTTTTCACGGGTAAAAGCTTGACCGCAGTATAAAACTCAGTAGTTTTAGGAATTAGGTTAGTTTACACTTTATGATCGAACTGAATGACCGAAACGTTGTATTAATCAAAATGAATAAAGACAATGGAAGTCCGAAATACTTTTATTTTTGAGTAACATAAATTACCTGTAAAACTTCGTTCCAAAAAATTTCGATAATTAAGAACTCACAATCAAAATTATTTAAGAGCCCTCTTGCTGTCGTCACTTCTCCCTCACGCTTTTTAATTCTATATGAAAAATACATACCTACTAATTTTATGAAGATAGCAATATTAATTTTTGTATTATTAAAATTATAGTGGTTGATTCCAAACATTACCCAGTCGCCTCCAGATGATGATAAAATTGAAAGGCTTGAAAGTGCCATGTTAGGAAGCATAAGTGATTTTGAAGACCTCTTTCTAAGTCAGGGACACAAGTATGTTGTAGGAAATACACTTACAGTTGCAGATATTTTTGCTGCATGTGAGTTGGAACAGCCAAGTGAGTTTAAGAAAATACTGTTAGCTTTTGTAATGTAGTAATAATTAACGGCTTTTAACATTTTCTTAGGAATTGCAGGATATGATGTATGTCAAAACCGTCCAAAACTGAAATCGTGGTTAGATTCTGTTAAAAAAGACTGTGATCCGTTCTTCGCTGAAGCTAATGTTTTTGTTGATAAATTTGCTAAAAAGACTTTAGCTGCTAAAATGTAATTAACTTTATAAATCTTAAAGATCAAGTTTTTTACACATGAATGTAATAAGCACAACTTTTACAATACTAGCTACTAAGTATTCTTTTTTGAAAAAAAATATTTAAATAATATTTTTGTTGGTCAGTTAAAAAATATATTTGTATTGTTGTTTATTGTTAGAATCAAAGAGGCGTGTTTTTATTATCCAAACTTAAAAATATTAAAAATTAATATTTTTTAAGTTTTCTATATTAACGGGGAAATACCTAGCTGTCCAGTAATAATGAATGATATTTCGGGTTAATGTTTTTTGATATCACTTTAGTTAACGTGCCTTATCGCTAAAGTCTGTCCAGCGAGGGAAGGGACGATTTTGACAGATGACATTAGAACCATAAAAATCAAAAACACTGTTATATTCTCTTGCTGGTCAAACTATAGTTAATATATAATATTTTCTTTATTTTTTTTATATATTTATATACATTACATTTTATATACAGGGTGGTCCGAGTTGTATTCCAGAAACTTCGGCAGCATATTCTGCAGATAAAAATAAGTAAAAAAGTTCGTATAAATGTATGTCCTAAAATGCTTAGTTTCGAAAATACAGGGTGTAGAAAATTCATTTTTATTTCGATTTTTTCCAAATAATTTATGAAGTAACGTCAATACTTGGATGAAAATTGGTGCCTAGAAGTTTTTTGATATGAGAAATTTGATTTTGATGTTAGTAGGACTCCTACTTGTAGAGGGCGCCACCTACATATTTTTTTCCTGGTTTAAAGAGTAATAACTTCTCGTCCGTACCTGTTCAAAACTACTGAGTAAAAAAATATACATTTATTACAGTTGAGGGTTGGAACCTTTGGTGTTACACAGCAAAATAAAAACACTAAATCACCACAATACACCAAAACACTTTTACTTTTACACTGGACGCGCGTTTCGCTAACCATGTTAGCATCATCAACAGATGATTATAAACTAAAGTACAATCTACAAGTTGAGCGTTTATATACTCGCTCAGTGGGCACCGAGTGGGCGTGGCAAAATCTAGCCAACCGAGTCAGAGCCAACTGAGCGTAACAGTTAGATTTCCGCCACTAGAGTAGTAGGAACAAAGAACTTGAAGGAATTGGACCGTTGACTAGCAGTTAGATGCATATGAAAGCATCAGAATTAATAAATGTAAAGATAGTATGAACAGAGTCAACGGTCCAATTCCTTCAAGTTCTTTGTTCCTACTACTCTAGTGGCGGAAATCTAACTGTTACGCTCAGTTGGCTCTCACTCGGTTGGCTAGATTTTGCCACGCCCACTCGGTGCCCACTGAGCGAGTATATAAACGCTCAACTTGTAGATTGTACTTTAGTTTATAATCATCTGCTGATGATGCTAACAAGGTTAGCGAAACGCGCGTCCAGTGTAAAAGTAAAAGTGTTTTGGTGTATTGTGGTGATTTAGTGTTTTTATATACATTTACAACGTTTTTTATGTAAAAAAAGTCTCTTGGTAAAAATCGCTACAAGTAATGGTTTTCGAGATATTTGGAATCGAATTTATCAATACCTGTCATCATTGACATAAGTTAAACATGTTAACTAAATAGTTATTCGACTGAAATCATAAATTTGAAATGTTTTTGTGCCAGAAGTTCAACAGAAACTGTTTTATTATCTTTTTTTCGAAGAAAAAATTATGATTAACTTAAAAAAACAAAAAGTTCCCAAATTTATCATTTTAGTCAAATAACTATCTACTTAACATGTTTATTTTTTGTCAATAATGACATGTATTGACTGTTCCCGTTCTAAATATCTTGTGAACAGTTGCTCGTAGCGATTTTTACCAAGAGACATTTTTTACGTAAAAATTCGCGGAAATGTATATTTTTTCACTCAGTAGTTTTATACAGGTACGGACAAAAAGTTATTACTCTTCAAAACAGTTAAAATACGTGTAGGTGGCGCCCTCTACAAATAGTCATATTGACATCAAAATCAAATTTCTCATGTCAAAAAACTCCGAGACACCAATTTTCATCCAAATATTTATGTTACCTCACAAAATATTTGGAAAAAATCGAAATAAAAATGAAAATTCTACACCCTGTATCTTCGAAACTAAGCATTTTAGGACATACATTTATACGAACTTTTTTACATATTTTTATCTGCAGAATACGCTGCCGAAGTTTCCGGAATACAATTCGAACCACCCTGTATACATTTTTTGGTGTTTTGATAATTTTATTTTTTTTTAGAGGAAGAGAGAAATAAATACACACTTTTAAATGGGTTTTTATTAAAAAAGTAAAAAAAAACTTAATGTAATACTTGAACTCAAATTAAACGTGTCTATCTAACACCAGACATGGGCGTGTCTACATCCGTCCTTTGAAGGTATTTACGTAACAGCTCCGTGGTTCTGTTCGTATTATACATGGCCAAAAATGTCTGTAGAGACACTGGCGCTTTTTTCTTAATTATTTGAAAGCCTGTAACGTATCTGTAGAAGTCTGCGAAGTCCCTAGGCACATACTGTTCCACCAAATTGCTCTCGTTCACAAATTCCTCCACCTCTCGCAAATCCTCCCTTCTACTGAACTCCACGTGTTCCGGTAAGCGTATCATCTCTGTTCCACTTAGAGGTTGGTCCGAAGAATGTTTCCTCTTTGAGAACGGAAGAGAGTGTTTAAATTGATCGGGATCCAGACCGGTAGTTTTTAATAATTCGTCGTCTTGAAGTGATAGGTTGCTGATGAACAGCTCTACTTGAGTGTCATCGAAATAACGGATAAACATGTGGTTGTCCCGTATATAACATAGTTTACCGTGAGGAGCTATTCTAGGTGGACTGCCCGGTGCTTGTGGACGATCCATAGACTTCCTTCGCTCCGTACCCGCTTCACGAGGGTACGATGCCATTCTAGGCGAAGTGGGGTTTTTATACTGACCATATGTGTTCGAAGATTTGAACTTTTGCACATAAGTGGGAGATGTTACAGCTTTGTCTGCTTTAGACTGTATTGTATCGGGAAATACGAATCCTGAACCATTTCCTACAGGGGAAATAGGTTCAATTTGAGGGGAGTAAATGGCCTTATCGGGTGATCTTTGCGGTGACGGAGCAAATCCTAACTTGATTGGTTGTATCTTTGAGGATTCGGATATCAACGTATTTGATTTTTTTCCCAATTGTTTGCATTGAGCTTCATTCGGAATTGAAGACGATAGGGAGTATTTTATACCATTCGCATTGGGTTGAATACTGCTAGTTACTTGTGGGGTTATAGTTGTACCTTGTGCCAAAATGGGGAGTAGAGGTGGCAGCGTTGGACATTTCGGTATGTGTGCGTCGTTTTGAACTGGTTTGGTTTTTGGTTCCTGGGGATGTGTTTCTGTAATTCAGAAATAAAAATAAAAATTTTGAAATTAAATTATTTTATTATTTGACGACAAAAATTTCATAAATATTTTAAAACTGATTTTCTTGCTGATTGTTTATAATTTAAAGATGTACACTTTATATTTAAAAATAAAAGTACTCATATGGTAGGCCTGTAAATAACAGTTGGTTTAAGCATAAGTTTGAGCATTACTGAACTAATAATTTACACTTTAATAAGTTCCTATAATATACGCGCTCATTTTGATCACTCGGTATATATAGTCTGGATCATATACCGGCTAGTGCATCGTCGTTGGAAACAGGAAATTCCATGCAAATTTTAAACTATCCAAATATTGACTCTTTTATTAATTTTACAGCTAAATCGCAAATAGGTTTTTAAAGGTCTATGTATACTGAATACGCATGCCAAATTTGGACAATTTTGAACTAGCCGATTTTAAGTAATTTAAGAAAAACTGCATCTATTTTTGAATTAAATCTTTTTGATTTTTTGCATGCAATACCATCCTCTGTTTTTATTTGCGCTAATAATTAATATTGTTAAATCAATTTATTGGCCCTTTAACACAGCTATCTTATTTCGCAAAAAATCGCCAAAATACTGCTAAATTGTAATCCACATAAAGACCACATCCAGTACAGATTGTTCTGGCGTTATACTTGAGGGGAGTAAAATCAATCTGATACCCCAGATTGAATCTGGATACTCCAGATTAAATGAACTATTGGATTAAAACACATTTCAAACAAAAGCAAATATGGAAGGATTACTAGATTTCTGGTTTAAGATTATCTAAATTAGACAGTGGATTTAGATTATCTATCTCAAACGTATGTAAGTTATACAGGGTGTTTCAAAAAACATGTGCTTTCGTAGGAAGATTCCTCACGTAAAAATAAAAGTTATTTTTTAGATCAACATAGGTGCGATTCTGCTTTGTTTCGTAGCTACAGGATGTTAAAATCTGATTATTTTTTCGATTTATTATAATTTTCTGCCAAATGCTTTTTTTAGCGTTTCGAATGATATTTTGATGCTAAAAGTTATTATAACTGCGACATATTTTAAAGCTAAAAAAAGTGTCGATATATTCACCAGGGACGTGCATATCGTTTATCACTGGAATATTTTTTTTCTAAAAAAGGATGTACGCCACTGACTGTTTTTTCTCTTGTTAGCGAAATAGTGTAAGCAGTTTAATGCCGATTAAAAGTTGTGTCTTGATATTTTGTCGATTTCGATGAGATAAACGCAATTTTATTAATTTGCCTTGATCCAAGTCTAATAGCAACCTTTAAAAAATGTTAATAGCATTAATTTGCGGAAGATTTAAATAAATACTCATTGATGCCTCATCAAAAAATATGAACCTTAAATACCGTAATTTTTTTTATTTGAAATTGCTATAGGTGGGTCTAATCGCAATAATAACTAATAGTAATGATATTTATTAATAAATAACGTAAAATGCCTATAATTTATTAATTTTATTTTTATTTTTATTTTATTAATTGTGATTAATAAAGACTGTAGCTAGACTGACCCTGTAGCTACGAATCAAAGCAGAATTGGACCTATGTCGATATGAAAAGTAAATCTTATTTTTACGTGAGGAAAATCCCATCGCTACAAGGGGTGGCACGTGTTTTTTAAACACCCTGTATTGTAATGACCTTACCTTCATCACTATCCATAATCTCTATTGTACTCTCTTGCTTAATCGGTCTTTTCAATATACCCATTTGAGTCAAGAATTTGCTCTTCAGGTTCTCATCTTTCTTTAGTTTTTCCATCCACACTAAAAATTCTGTATTGTTCTCATCCTGACCCTTTTCTTTGCCATTTGTAAACTCTATTTCCGGGCTTGAACTAATTCGATCGCCGGTGGTTCTCAATATGGTGGTTATTGAAGGTGAATTCTTTAGAGGTTTGTTAGTTGTTTCTTTCGTTATTTCCATGGAATTATCTTCCACAATTACGGCGGGTCGTTTTGGTAATGGAGGTAAGGTTATTGGAATCACTTCCGGTGATTGAGATAGGCGCTGAGGTTCCATGTGATTAGAAACTTGAGATTTTTTTTCGTTGTTATTTTCGGTCATGCGTATAGATATTTCTTCACGGGAATGGTGAATTTTCTTCGCCTGAAAAAAGAAAAGCGTTTTTTAAATTACTTTCATTTTATTACACTAATTATATTGTCTTTATTATTATTGTTGAAATTTTACGCGGCGCGGCGTATCGACTTGCATGTACAGGGTGGCGCCTCTCATACGCCGCAGAAGCTCCAAGGAGAACGGTAGTTTATATCGAAATAAAATTTTGGCAGCATATGTAGGTTAACTGAAAGCATTTTATAAAAATATATAGAGTTATACAGGGTGTCCCCAAAAAAAGTTACACATCAAAGTTTTGTTTTTTCTAATGGAACACCCTATATATTAATTGATTTTCTGATTCTAGGAAAAAAATAAAGGTGAGTTTTATTAAAGAAGCATATACCCAAAATCTAAGAATTTTGAGATATTTTACATTTTGTGAAAACGAAAAGTAAATTTTAAATTTCGATAACAGCTACCTAAATTTTAGTTGACTATGTATAGCCTGATATTTAAGTACAGTAAACATTGTATGTTAAACCAAATTGAAATTTGACCCGAAAAGTTATACAGGGTGAGACAAAATTAATATGGAACATTAGTCACTTTTAAAAGCAAGTTACTCCTTTATTTTAAATGGAACACCCAGTATATTTTTTCGGCGTTCAATGGAGAATTTATATATCTTCAAAATATTATTAAGGTTGCCTACCCCTCAGACAAAGATTGTCCTAGATATTTTAATTTGTATGATTTTGCGTCAGTGGATCTTTATTGTTTGAAAAAATCTAGGGGGCTCTGTGATATACCTTTTGTTAATTTAAGAAAAATTAACGATTGTAGTGTAAAATACTCAACGGTAATAAAAAGATACACGCTTAAAACATATTTTAATTATTACAGAATTAAAACTAGATATAAAACTATAATTATGTGACAAAAATTAGCTAAAATGAAATCAAATACTCAAAATGCTTCCTTTCCTGTTAACTGCATAAAATAATTGTCTTTCCAAGAGGATCTTTTCATTTTAAAAAGCGTATGTGTAGTTCTACCTCGAAAAGCAGCTACAATAATTTCTCTCATGTTGTCGACAATAGTTGGTCGAGTTTTGTAAACACTGTCTTTAACATATCCCCATAAAAAACAGACTAGATAAAATCAGGAGCATTTAATATTCTATTAATTGGTGAATGCACACCTGCATTCGATAACTAATGGAATCATATCATTTCTCTCTGATGTAGGATAAGTTTGCATTTTCGGCAAATTTCTGAGAATTTTTTTTGTTTTAACTGACATAAAATGATAACTAGTTGTTAAAGTTGGACTAATTAGACAGCTATGTTGAAGCAACGTCAGACATATCACAGCCACCTAGATTTTATCAAATAATAAGGATTTACTCAGATCAAATTATGTAAATGAAAATATCTAGGAACATATTTGTTTGAAGGGTAGGCAACCTTAATAGTATTTTGAAGAGACATGAATTCTCCATTGAATATCGGAATAATATACTGAGTGTTCCATTTAAAATAAAAGAGTAACATGCTTTTAAAGGTGGCCAATGTTCAATATTAATTTTGTCTCACCCTGTATAACTTTTTGGATTAAGTTTTAATTTAATTTAAAGTACAATGGTTAATTTAACTACATATTAGGCTATACCGGGTAAATTCCAATTTAGGTAGCTTTTATTGTAATTTTAAAATTGTTCTTTATTTCTAGAAAATGTTAAATATGTCAAAAACCTTACATTTTAGTTATATACTTCTCTTATAAAACTCGCCTTTATTTTTCTCCCAGAATCCAAAAATCAATTAATATATAGGGTGTTCCATTACAAAAAACACAACTTTGATATGTAACTTTTTTTGGGGACACCCTGTAGAACTCTCTATATTTTTAAAAAGTGCTCTGAATTAACCTACATATGCTCACAAAATTTCATTTCAATACAAACTGTCGTTCTCCTTAGAGCCTCCGCGGCGTATGAGAGGCGCCACCCTGTATAGGAAGCCATTATTAAGAGTCTATTACGTTGTATTGTTCGGGTTGCTCTCAGGGGTCGGGTAAAGCGGGTGTGCGGCCGAAGGAAAAACTATATTTCAGAAATCTGCCCAAGGCTTAGCCCAATCCTGTCGTGTTAAACCACGCCCAAAATTCCAAACACACGTGCTTTGATTAAGGTTTACAGAGCTTCAGCATTTGCCATAAAATAGCGAGTAATTTGTTACAAAAACATATAAATTATATATCACTGTAATCACAAAACTTCAATCTATTTCCATATTGTAACTGAATTTTAAATTGTCTTTATTTTCGAGAAAATTTAATCCAAACATAAGGAATATTTTGTTGATGTTTGACCATCAAGATCTTAAAAATGAAGAAGTTATCTAAAAATGTGCTACAATACGGATATAGCATAATCCTTTATCTTTAATTTACTTAGACTCTTAAGTAAGAAATAAACTAAGAGGAGAGTGCAACTCCCTAAATACTAGCCAGGGTTACTATGTTAATGAAATAGCTGATGGAGTAAAATTCTCTGCACTTTTCTCTCAGGCCATTGAAGAGGCTTCCATAATGTTCTGGATGTCAATGCTGGGCTAACAAAAGCTATTCAGATGATTGTCATGCATAAAGGTTTGGTGCATTTGAACTGATATTATAAATCCCGACCCCAGCGCTCGCTGCGGCCGGAATCTGAACCTCTTGACTGCCTGTATTTTACAGTATGTCATGGCGTCCTGGTTACTGTTGATCATGTTGATAGTATTGAAATAATACTATATTTCCAACCAAACAATATCAACAATTAAGAAATAGACTATGGCCAAAATGTTATAGTCTATTCCTTTTATGGTTGATATGTGAGAGCATATGACCAAAAGACGTTTTGTTGTGTACAATGTGATATCCCATCACCGACAAGTTTTCGTCTTCATTTAGAACTTTCTGAATTTTATCGAGAGTTGGTATTTCCTTGTTTAAGTAAAAGGCGTGCACATGTCTCCTTATTATGCTCCTAGAACAGTCATCAATAACAATGGCTTCCTCCCCGTACATGTTTTGGGCTCACAAACAGTTCCACTTTTTCTTTGTTTCAGAACTCTATAAATCGTAGCTTCACCAACTCTCGTAATATTTGGACATTTCGTAACTACATTTCTCACAGTAGCCGAGGGATCTTGATGCGCAAAGAGATCATGAACAATTAAAAGTATAGTTTTCGCTCTTAAATCAAGAATACCTTTTATCTTGCTTGGAATAAATATCTCCATGTTTGCAAATCAACACCGCGAGGTAGACACATAATATACAGAATGCTCGTAATTTTTCACAGGTATATACAGGGTGAGTCTTAAATAAGTGCAATATTTTTAGGGGTGGTATATTTCGACCCCAGAAACACGATTATGTGGCCTTTTCGCGATTTTTTTTTAATTTTCAATTTTTTAAAATTTTTTTGGATTTTTTTAGTTCTAAATTAAAACACATTATCTCTTAATAACATATAGGTAGTAGATTAAGTTTACAAGAGAGAAAATCCAGAAAAGAAGTTCTCAAAATTTAAGCAAAAAATTTTTTTTTGGAAATTTTCAAAGTAAAATAACTCGGTTATTTTAGATTTATTTCAAAAACGGTAGAGAGAAAATATGTTTCTTTTATCGAGATCTACCAGCCCTGAAAATATTTGCACTTATTTAAGACTCACCCTATAAACCTATAAATGTATTTTTACAGGTATAAATTGGCGGGGTTCATAACCATAAAGTGATCAGGTAGCTATTATACTACAGAACGATCAGCCAATGTAATAAAGAGCAAACAATTTTTTTTGCTGCAATCTATTCTGGGACGAGTCTTTTTGGCAAGAGACTTTTTTACGTAGAAAACGGCGCAAATCTTCAAAGCAGCTAAAAATATGTAGGTGGCGCCCTCTACAAGTAGAAGTCAGATTGACATCGAAATCTAATTTCTCATGTCAAAAAACACCCAGACACCAATTTTTATCCAAATATCGATTACTGCTCAGAAATTATTTAGAAAATTTCGAAATAAAAATGAAACTTCTACACTCTGTATCTCTGAAACAAAACATTTAGGACATACATTTATAAGAACGTTTTTACTTATTTATTTATAAGAACGTTTTTACTTATTTTTATCTGCAGAATATGCTGATAAAATTTCCCGAACACAATTCGGACCAACGGTATATGGTTGGAGTTATGGTGAATGTACTGCTCCAGTGTGTCTGGTCTGTATACTCGTACATTCAATAAAAAAAGTTTCTACTCTCATGGTGAAATTGATACTGCAATATTCTTTCAACTCATTTTTCATCGAGTTCATTCTTCTTCCAAATTATAAATGTTTCATTAACGTATCGTAACCAAAGTGTAGTGATTTTGCTGAAATATTTATTGTCCAGTATGTGTTATTATTCTTTATAAACGGAATAAAAAAATGATACTACTATCTGTCATACATCAAAGCAAAAAAAAAGATCAACATTTTATTATTCAATTAATTATCCGAATCATCTATAGGTTCAACTTTCAAATAATCATATAACTAACACTGTCCGACGAAAGAATATCAAGTTAGTGACAATTGATTTATAAAGTAAATTGTTTTTTTTTACATAGTCTCAAAATCGTATATACTCCCGCCAGACAGACTATAGCTGAAATTTTTTAATATACACATACCTGTGGACTTAGAGGGTTGCTATTTGGTAAACTATGCTTAGTAGGTCCAGTGCCTTTTCTAGATATCATTCCAGGATGCACACTGATAGGCAACGTGTATCCATTGGATATATGCTGTTGTAGTTTTTGGTAGAATACGTCAGGGTAATCTGGAGAAGTTCGTTCGATTGGTGCAGGTGGCGAGTACATTGCTGGCTGTAATCTCTCAATTATGGGACTGACGAGAGTGGATTGATCCCAAGTAATGTCTTCTTTTCTGGATCCCGCCTGCGGATTGGACATCGTTCTTTTTATCATATGTCTGTGATGTTTCTTCTCAGATCGATGCGATTTACTTCTAGGCCTGTTTAACAGCTGGTCAACAGGTGTCGAAAACTGCACATGAGGGGGCAATTTTTGATAGGCTTGAAGGGGATATGGATTATACGGATACGCTGCGTCGTATTGTCTTTCTTTCTCCAAACCGAAATCGTGAGATGCTGAAAAAAATTCTTATACAGTGTGGTGTAACCAAGATAAGGTGGAAGATTGAGTTTAAATTGTGACGAATTCCGAAAGTCTTTTTCTTGCAAACGGTCAGTTTTTAAAAAGAGTTGTAGATCTTTTAGTAATCGAAATTTTGTACAATATCCTTAAAATCTTTCCCTAGAAGATGCAAGACCTTGTCGTTGGTGGGATTCCAGGGGGGATGACCAGCTGATCATCCCCTCTGGCACTTTAGCTAGGTTTAAGGAGCATCTCGCTGTGTTGTCTCTGGTTGTAGTGTCGTAGTCAGAGACATATAACGATGCCGGACGGGACTACCCTACCCGTCATACCAGGCACCCTCTACGGTTTGTGGTCATGTCACATGGGCAGAGGGTGCGGGTGGTATTGGATTAACCGGCCAGACCAAGAGGAGACAACCTCATCAAAAAACTAAATCCTACGACGCGACGCGCGACTGTGGAGCTAGGTTAAAGGGATGCATGGCTAGATAGAAGACTAGCCTTTACTGGTCTCAACCTTCGGGGCACCAGGTGGCAACCCATTATTTTTACCCTTTACTTCTACATGCGGGGCTCTGTAAAACTGGACCGAGAGGCAGCTAACACTTGCGCTAGACCTGCCTCCACGAGTGGCATACAAGCTATCACCCCCTCTAGTAAGGGTCGGGTGCCTACCTCTAGAGTCAACAGGCTACACAAGTTACTGTTTCCTCTACCCGGCCTGAGTCGAAGATACTTCCGACTGCTTCGCGAAGGACTTGTTTCAGAGAAAGCAAAAACGAAAGCTCCTAAAAGAAGAGGGGAGTAAAGGAACCATCAAAGAGGCAGGCGCATCTCCACCAAAAGGCAAGAGAGAGTGCGAGTACCTCTCACTTCTGCTCGGGCAAGGAGAGAAAAAGACAAGGTGAAAAACCGCCCAAGACCGGGAGGCAAGTTTGCCAGAACCACTACCAACTTTGCCAGAACTCCAATGTAAGGACATCGAGTTGGCGAGTCATCAACTCGAGGAAGGAGGGCCATGGTCAGGTCCTCGCAATAGGAATTGACCTCAAATCCAAGGAGCCAGTTGAGAAAGAGAGATTATTAGATTATCTAGAGTTCTATTATAGATTCGAGACAACACCGGTATCCAGTCCAAGGAGAGACCAAGTTAAAGAGGTGGAGAAAACGGGGACAGATCCACCAGCCTCCACCTCACGGGTGGTACCTCAGTTGGAGACACGCTCCTCGACTGTGACGGTCACGGAGGGTTAAACTCCAACCATGAAAGGGTGTACAGCCTTGGTAGGAGATGTCCGCTTCTCGGAGGATGAACATTTGTTGTCAGAGGAGAATGGGAAATACCCTACCCCCCTACAACAGGGAGATCCCCATGTATGATGAGTTATAACTTAAGAAAGGGGGACAATATATTTTTAAGATCGCGGTGATTAACCCCCCCTCCTCTCATTCTACATTTTACCATTAAAATTAAAAGGGATGGAAATTCAAGAAAAAATCGAGTTAAAATTAATCATTTGCAAGAACTAGATTTTTCAAATTGTCATTAGATACAATTATCCATCTCGTCTTAGTTTCCCCACTCTGTATAATATGTTGTAAGTATTCTAATTTGTTTATCAAGTTAAAAAATATTACTGATTCATAAATATCAATATGCTTTATGTTTTTATAGTGCAAGCTTTTAGATATTTGCAAACCCATCACACCCGTTATGGGAACCATAACATAATATAACCCCTATCATGTAATTATATCCCGTTATAATAAATTCCGTTATCAAAAAAAGAAAAATATATTCAGAGATTCAGTGGTAACAGTTCAAAAGTAAAATATATTAATCCCAAATAAAATTTTAATGTGTATGACTATTCTGGTAAATACCATTTTGATTTTTTTGTTATTTGTCACTGCTATTAGTAGGCCGTGACGGATCATATGATTCATAAATATACAGGGTGTTCCATTTGAAAAAACATAACTTTAGTTCATATTTTCAAAAATATTTTTTTCGTAGAAAAACGCCACTGTATTTTACGTAAAAAGTTCTACAAGAATCAGTTTTCAGCTTCTCGACATGATTCATAATAACCGAGAACGGGGACCGTCCCAAAATTGCAAAATTTTCAAAAAGACCCTGTAGCTCAGAAACGAAAAGGGCGAAGAAAATTTTGTTTACAGCATCTTCCGTTTGACAAAAAACTGGGACAGATGTGTGCAAACTGCATCCTCCTATCTTTACTAATAACCAAGATACCGTATGATTTCAACCAAAATGGAACATCCTGTATATCATATGTATATGAAATAAAGTAGAACTGAACCACTAAAGGCCAACATTTCAGAATTTATATCCTAATATTAAATTTTATATCCAACTTACCAACATTAGGAAGGTCCATCGAAGGCGTCACCAAGTTCAACTCTTTATTTCGAAAAACTACATCTTCCAAGGTCGACATCAACCTCTGAGCTTCCGTTTTTAAATTCTGAGGAACGTTATCGTCGTCTATAATCATTCTCAACTGCGTCGTAATGGAATCGACATGTTTTAAGAGCTCGTTTGGAACTGGTAAGGTCATGTACGACCTGATTCCACTCAACATGGAAATGATCCGGTTGACTTGATCGATTTGTTGATAAGTCGGGCTGTGCGGATGAATCGGCGGACTGAGATGACCAAGTGATACAGGCAGGACACGAACTCCAATGTCATTCGATTGATTATGTTGAATCGATCCTGATTCGCTCTTGTGAGATTGCGAAATGTTAACTATCGAGGGAGAAATCGACGATTTCTGTATAGGTGAAGAGGGATGGCTTTGAAATCTGCACAAAAAAGGTTTAAAATTGATATGTATGTCAGGTCTATAGCATTTTGGTAGATATATTTCATATCAATTAAACTTTTAGTTACGTAATCGAGTGCGCGATTTTTAAACTCATTGTTGCCAACCATGAACACATTCGGTGCCGTGCTGCCTAACTGGAATTTAAATTTCGCGCTGGGTAGCTCTGCTGTAAAAAATGTCAAGTTGCCGCATTTATTTATTTATTTCCTGACACTGCCATTCGTTTTGACACTTTAGTTTTGTATTACGAGTTTTTGGTTTCAATAAATAGTGTTGTAATATTTTAAGCTTGAAAATGTTTACTAGCAGACCTTGCAGTCGAACATTGATCTTTTTAGAACCTCTTTTAGTGCGAAGTGTACAAGATAGTTTAACAGCTGTAAAAAACTCATCGCAAATTTATTAGAAAACATTTAAACATTTTGAACGGGAAAGCGATAGACATGGCCCTTTATGTCCCTTAAGTGCTGTTAAGAAGGTTAGTTTTATTGATGTAAATAATAACGGTTAATATATTTATATATCGTATATATTTATATACCTTGTATACCGAACGGCTCTAGTATGGCAAGCTGTACCTTGCTACTCCCAAGGCGTTGAACGCTATATACGGGAGCTATTATTATTATTATTATATATTTATAATTAATTTGTTTTTGTTTCCCAAAATACTTTGATTAAAAGAAAATATATAAAAGTGGACAACGCTGTGCCGGTCAAGCTTAATCACGTGACTAAAAGTTTATTTGGTATGAACTGTATATTTGGGGTCGCACCACTCTGGCACTTTGTGCCATTGTATCAGTTTTTTAATCGCGGTGCGATCCCTTTAGACACATATTTATTAATACTAATATTATTCTCTAAAACTTAATGGGGTCTAATAAAGAAATTTGAATTTGAATTTGTATATTAATAATCCAACATAACGCCGCTGGCGCTAAAATAGACTTTTGATGAAAGTGCCAGACTATGAATTATGAAATAAAATATCTTTTTGCCTAACCTAACCTAACTGACATTATCCTTAATGTTGGAATCCCACTTCGTCAGGCGTATCACTAACTGATATCAAGTATGAACTTAACTTGACATTTATTTGAACAGATTTATTATTATACCGGGTGCGTCTCAAAAGTGTTTCACCGGAAATTACTACAACTTTTGATTTTTAAATAGCACCCTCGGTATTTTTTTACTTTATTCGATAGAAAATGACATTCTGAATAGAATGTCATATCATATGTCAATTTTTTACATTCTCGCTTAATAAAAAATTGTATTTTCAAATTCAATCTAGAGTGCCATGGCTATGTTAAAAACGGAAATTCTTCATCAAGGAACCTTGGAAAAATAGATTTGATGGTCTAATGTTTTTAGTATCTTGTCCTGGCCAGTTAGAAAATGCTCAAATCGTATTTTTAAGCATATCTCAATTTTTTCAAATGGAACGAGGGTGGCTCATTAGCATATTTGGAAAAAGCATTTTTTTACGAATAATTTGATACCACACATTTGGTATTTCAAGTCAAATTTTCGTTACGAACCGCAAGTTATAATTTCAAATAAACCATATGCGAAAATGTCAAAAGTTGACATATGATATGTCATTCTATTCAGAGTGACATTTTCTATCGAATAAAGTAAAAAAATCCCGGAGGTGCCATTTAAAAATCAAAAGTTGTAGTCATTTCCGGTTAAACCGGAAGTGACCGAAAACAATTGAATGCGTCAATCAATCCTAGTTTATGTCATATACTAACATAACAAATCTCGTTTTTTTAACTAAAAAAATAAAAAAGTTATAGGGGGTGGCTCACTTTTGAGACGCACCCGGTATATATTGTATCTTACTTCTCGTATACAAATTTCGGAAAGCAAAAGGTACAGGGTGGACCAAATTGGACACTCTTAAAGGAAAACGCCCTTTTCTACAGGAGACGAAAACTAATATCGGTGTTTGGAGCTCAGTTTTTATTAAAAACATGATGGTAAAAACCCCACATCGAAATATGTTACCATTTCGGAGTTACGGGCTGATTTACGGCTTATTTTATTTTTACATTAAAACATTATTTTTGAATGTTTTTGATCTTGTATGATTTTTAGTTAATCATTTTAATTAATCGATAATTTTATATAATGCTTTAACTTCACATATTAAAAAAACTAACCTTGGTTGAATATTGTCTCGTTCGTCATTTGATTTACTTTTTCTACGAGATAAATGAATTTTTAAATTATCCAATTTACTTATTTCATAGTCTTTATATTTTACTTCTTTATTTTGAATTTCTAACTTCTTTTTACTCAAATCGACTGGTTGCTTTACTGATAAATCTTCTGGTTCATCAATTGTTGTCGTTTCTATAGATTCACAAAGTTTTGCAGCCTGAAATTCGAAACATATGAAGAGTGATCTTTCCAATATTAATAACTGAAAATTTATAAGGGTTTTAATCAGTGATGGGCGTATATGTATACCCCTTCGGTAAACATCGTTTGAAAAGGGAATCATTTTATGCACCGAACAAAAAGGGAAGCATTTTGAGCATATGTTCTTATATATCGAGTTATAAACCTCTAATTATTAAAAATTAAAATATGAAACGTGTACTTCTTTATTACCATTAAATATTTTACTCAATATCCTTTAATTTTTGTTAAATCAACGTTCAACAACAGATCTACTTACACTAAATCATAGAAATTACATTATCTATGAAAATCTTTGTGGAAGGGTGAGATATCCTTGAGGTAACTCCATTGAATATCGGAATAATATACTGGGTGTTTTTTGGTATTTTTTGGGTAAGTGTAGTGACGTAAAGGGTAATATTACCATGATAATATTACCGGCAACTTTGGTAATATTACGGCAAGATCGGTAACATTGGAAATATTGCTTTTTTTCCGCTCTACTCTTTTTCATTTGTCCAGCTCTAAAATAAGTATTTTAGCTGTAGACATTTTAAATTTACCATTGTCAACAGCCACAACCGAAAAAACCTTTAGTACTTATGGATTTGTTCATCAGCCAAGAAGAAACAGACTAACCGTAGAAAGGGTCGGAAAACTTACTTATATTGCCCTTAATTATAATTTACTAAATGGGGAAGAGCATCTAAGAAGGGTAGAAGAAGCTGCTAAGAAAGAAATAGAAGAAGAAGAAGATGAATATATCGATTTCGAAGTGTGTAATAGACTTGACTCAATTAACGAAAGAGAAAGAAGAACCAAATGACGACGTAGGTCACTCTGAGTCTAACTAGTTTAAAACCGTTCTTGTCTTTTCTAATGTTTTTTCAGTTTTTAAATAAAAAAAATAATATTATTTAAAAAGCTCTTTCTTATCGATTACCAATGTTACCGTAGTATTACCGGTAATATTACCGATTTATAAATTACCGGCAATTTTACATAGATTCTGAGAGAGGGAAACGATACAAGTTTGAGGAAGTATAGACACATTCACATATCTAGGAGCCGTATTTCTCAGGAAACCAAATGTAACTCAAGAAATTATGGCAGGAAATAGATGTGTTAACGCACTACAGAAAATTATTAAGAGTAAGAACATCTCTAGAAGTTTAAAAACCAGAATGCATCAAACAATGATACGATCAATAGTGCTGTATGCATGTGAAACGTGGACGTTCAATGTAACGGAAAGTTCGAGGCTAGAGATTTGGGAAAGAAAAATATTGAGGAAGATTTTTGGAGGAAAAAATATAGACAACATATGAACCAGAAGAATAAATGAAGAATTAAAGCAACTATATCGGTCACCGAGTATAACGGGAGTAGGAAGGGCACAAAGACTGAGATGGCTGAGACACATTGAAAGAATGGCTGAAGTAAGAATTCCTAGTATGATAATAAAACGTGAAATAGATGGAAAGAGAAGGGGGGTAGACCGAGAACCAGATGGAAAAAGGATGTTGAAGAGGACTTGAGAAGGATAAGAGTGGACGGTTGGAGAATAAAGGCGAAAGACAGAAACAAATGGAGAAGGAAAACTTTTGGGCTTTTAGAGCTATTATATATAATTTTACATCACTAGGTAAGTGAATCTTTAGACAGTATATTTTAAAATGTTAAAAAAAAGAATGTACTACCTCATTGTTCGTATCCTTAAAATAATTATTTATCTGTTGCGATTGTGTTGTCTGAACAACCGGGCTAGCTTTGTTTAGGTGACTGCTTAAGCCAATTTTTTGCCACATAAACTGTCGTTCCTCAAAATAGGTTGGCTTCTGAATAAGTGGCACTGTTGGCGTCGCATGATTTTGAATAGGTGTAGATTCTGTAAAAGATTTTCTGAATGAATATTCATCGAGCCCATTGCAAGAATTTTTGGGTACATTATTATCAGTCATTCTTCTATTTACTATCGGATTTTCCATTATAATCGCTGAAAAAGAATAATTTGTCAATAATCTTGTAGAGATGGGAAGTATTATTAAAACTAACCGGGTAAATGATGCTTTCCTACATTAATATTATTACTATTGTTATTCTGAACACTGCGGGTGTTGTTGTTTTCCTCATGTTTTTGTTTTAAACATGCTGTTGGTTCGATCAGATCCGCTACTCTGAAATGACTCGATATCTTAACATCTACAGGAACCTGATGTTGTTTCTGGCCACCTAAAGATGTCACAATGGAATCTGTGATCGTTTCTTTCTGAATATTATCTAATTTATTTTGTTCAGTGTTGTTAACGTCTTTTTGTTTCAGTAAAGTAGAAGTTTTATCTGAAAAAATATTAAATAATAATTAATACAGGGTGTCCCAATATTCCGTAGACATCAATCCTATGTTGCCAAGTTTTGGTAAAAACCAACAACAAATTTTTGATATAAGTTACTTTGAAAGATCTAAAAACGAATTGTGAAAGATTTTTTTTAAATTCACCCCGAGAAGGGGTGAGATAAATAAATAAAATTATTTTTTCGAAATTTCGGAGAAATGGTAAGGACCAAAAAAACTTCATATAAAAGTTGTAGAAAGTCCAATTTTACATAAAAATGATATCTACAGAGTCCGGCAATAGTGCGTCGGGGTAGCTTCTAGAATAAAAAAATTTATTCAAGTGCAAACTTAAAGTATATAATAGAATGTATTTCAGGAAAATATTTTAACTTCTATAGGGTGGCTCAAAAAAGTGAGTGGATGGGGATGATTTTTTTTAAATGGAATATCCTGTATATTATTGCATTTTTGGCTTCCTTTCAGATCACTTTACATAATCCTAAGATATGATTAAATTTATTTTGATAGTTTCAGATATATTAATAAATAAAAAAAAAAATGTATTTTTTTCAGCCTTTCTTAAAAATTTTATTAAAAATACAAGAACCAGTCCTGAAATCAAAACTATATTAGGTATTTACTTTAGATGGTCTGCACTTAACTTTGCTATAAATATGGTAATCATAAATCATACAGGATGTTCAAAATTCTATGCCAAACTTTGTAAAATATAAAATAATTTTTCTTCGTTTTTTTAAATGGAACACCCTGTATATTATTTTTTTAATAGATGGAGAATTAAAAAAATAACATTTTTTGTATTTAGAGTATTTCAAAATTTTTAAAGGTTTCGTAGATATTCGCGGTTTTATATTTCATATGGCATTTTCCACAGTAAATGTTTATCAAAGCCACCCAATCATTTTTCTCTCGTATTTTACCGTTGAAGGAGCCATATGAAATAATACTGCGTGTATCTGCGAAACTACTAAAAATTTTGAAATACCTTAAATGCAATAAATGTTCATTTGTTAACTCTCCATCTAATAAAAAAAGAATATACAGGGTGTTCCATTTAAAAAAACAAAGAAAAATTACTTTATATTTGAGAAAGTTTGGCGCAGAATTTTGAACACCCTGTATGATTTAAGATTACCAAATTTATAGCAAAGTAAGTATAGATCATCTAAAGTAAATACCTAATATAGTTTTGATTTCAGGACAGTAGTATTCTTGTATTTGTAATATTTTTTTAAGGAAGGTTGAAAAAAATATCTTTTTTTTATTTATTTATTAATATCTCTGAAATTATCGAAATGCATTTACCCATATCTTAGGATAATGTAAAGTGATCTGAAAGGAAGCAACACCCCTTCTCGGGGTGAATTTAAAAAAAATCTTAATTGAAATTGATAATTTTCCAAACAATTTGAATAAAAATGTTAAATAAATAAATTTTTCAGCAACGTATATTTTTGTTTTATTTCTACTATCATCCTCTAGCTTCTATCTCGGTTAATTCTAACTAACCCTTAATAACTATACTTATTACTAACCCTATCTCGGTTAATTTTGATCTGAGCATAAAAAGTATAGAAATCATTTCTATGAAAAATTTGACGCTTCACAACTTTTATTTGAACTTTTTTTCTAGCACTTACCGTTCTTTTTCCGAAATTTCGAAAAAATAATTTTATTTATTTCTCTCCTTCCCGGGGTGAATTTAAAAAATCTTTCACAATTCAAAAGTTTTTAAATCTTTCAAAATAACTTAGTATATGAAAAATTCAAATTTTTACGAAAACTGCGTATTTAAAGGCCTATTTTCTTAGACAATTAAGATATTATGTTTTCTTAACGGAAAACGCTTTCATTCTAATATCGTATAGACAGATCACAGTCTCTGCAACGAGAGAATATATCGTCCCATTGCTGCCAAAAGTCACTAACTTACTTTTTATTACTTTCGAGAAAAATGCGTCTAAAGATGAATTGCATTGCATAAAGATGTTAAAATAAAACATGAATAGCCAGAAATCGTAGTTAATGACTCTTGCAATCGATTATCCGCTTCAAAACATAGTTAGTGATTGAATTTGGTTGTTCGGAAAAATGTTAGTTAGTGACTTTTGGCAGCAATAGGACGATATGCCAGTGACAGTTGTTATCTGTCATTTTAGTTTACAAGTATGGCATTTTATGTCATTTTTTGGATGTCGTCTGTCGAAATGTTCCCTGATTCGAAGACTTAATTTTGTATAATTTTCTCAAACTATACATTGTTCTATGAGAGCCTATAGCCTATAAATATACTTTGTATAGAATATTGATATACTTACAGTAAATCACTACAAAGAGTATAAATTAAATATTTTAACAATTATCCTCCCCAATGAAAAATATATATTTTCCTTTCTTTTAGCTAAATTATCACGAAACTCACTATACATAAATACCTATTTTGTTACTATATTCTATATGAATGAAATCGAAAGCCGTATCTTATTTTTATATTTCATATGAATATTCAAGTAAAACATTAGCTTTATCTTAGTAAAATATTAATTACTACTAATCTATTTTATCAATTTTATCTCAATATAAAGTACGACATATCTATTTGTAAATAAACGTAATATATTCGTACAGGGTGTTCTACAAATCGTGTGTGTGAAAATAAATTTAACGTTAGTGTTTCACATATTGACTGTTTCAATATAGCAACATTTCTTATTAAATTTTAATTTTAAGTAATTTGTTATCATCCTAAAATCACAGGAGTCGTGAGAACATGCCCAACAGTAGCAATGGAGGTCATTCTAGACCTAACACCACCGCATATGTGTCAAACGTATTAGTCGTTGAAAAAGGTAGCTGCGAGAGCGCTGAAGTCATGATTACTAAATCCCGCTTAAAATGGGCTGGCCACGTATGCAGGATGCAAGAAGACCGCCTACCGAAATCTCTTCTTTACGGTGAGCTTGTAGAGGGTAAGAAGAAACTGGATGGACATCTCAAAATATAGAAGGATATTTTCCATGAAAACTTAAAAGGGATAAGCATGCAGAATAAGTGGGAGGAAGCAGCGCACAACAGAACGCAATGTAGAAGAATTGTAAACTCAGTTAACAACGACAACCAAAAAGTAAACTGGCTACAAAGTAATGAGATTTTTGTCGTCCGGAGTGCGGAAGAAAGATAATATCACGTATTGAGTTTTTCAATCACAGAAAAGTTCATGAAAGAAAAGCCTTGTGTAACCATCTTCTGATACGTGTCAAATACTCGTCAGTGAGTAATGGCAGTAAGTAAGTAAGTAATCTTGACATTTTGTGACGATTTTGGGAATATGGTAGAAATGTAGCAGAAGTCCACAGAAAGCAGTAAAATTTTGAAAGTGAAAATGAGTAATTTTTTTAGGAACCTTTGGTCTACAGAAATGCCATCAGTTCTACAGACCGTCTTCCGTTTTAATGGGGCGGCAAAACGTATGGTAAAACGTTATGTGTGTTGTTAGTTCTCTTGAAAAATGAGGAATTAGATTATCAATCAGTTGCAGAATATGCAGACAAAAACATTTTATGATATGCATACTTAAAACAAAGTTAAATCACTGATAACAACGACACAAATTTACAACGTTAAATCACAAATATCAACAGTGAAATCGACAATATTTGGTTAATAAGATTGCGCTAGCTGAAACATTCAATGTTGGTGCTTTTGCAATTATATTTGTCCTTTTTGTTATGACTAAGTGTGGTATTTTTCAACAGAATCGGCCATAACAAAGGCAATGTGTAATATTGTTTGAGGTATTTTATCGTTGTAGAACGTTAATAAACATTATTTGTAATAGAACGAACAATGAGTATAAAAAATGATAATAAAAGCAATTTTTAATCAATTGAGTCTAATCAAATATCAGTGGCAGAAACAATTATTAATTAAAATAATAAACGATAGCAACCACGTATCACCATATTATATAGAATTATTTTATTACATATAAAACTTATCAGAGCCCTATGTATAAAATAAAAATAAAATAAAATAATACATTTACGGACCAGCCATTTAAATGTACATACAACAATAATTATAATTACAACTAGAATAAAATCCATCACAACAGAAACTTTACAATAAATTACTACAAAACCACCGCCTTTACTTTATTCTTGAAACTATTTATATTATCACAGAAGAAGTCGATATCACAATCTTTATCAATAATCTGATTAGCCTCTACACAAAATCTTGTAAGCGCAGATGACATTCCATAGTTAGTTCTGTGAAAAGGTATATGGAACAGATCGAACCCACGCAGAATTATCCCCGGAACATGCAAAGATAGTTCGCTTAGTAAGCTGGGACAGTCAATCTGAGAAGAATGAGAGAATAAAACTAAGCTAATATGTATGTCCAAAAGTTAAAACCGAGTGCATATAGTACCAAAGGCGCCCCTAGATGCTTTATTATGTTGTTTCTAGGGCGAGACGTTTTTGAAAGTCGATATAATAATATTATAATTTTGGTCCAAAAAATCTTATTTCGTGTGAGTTTGACCCTACCCCCAAATAAAAGTCTAAATCCTCCACTGTATAAGTTCTATGTCGGTAGATAATGCAGTTAGTTACTGCATACATTTATATAATTTATTATTTTTTCTGAAATATAATACATATTTTTTACTATATTTTCAAATGAAGAGAGTTTTTTCATCTACTTCACTGGAATAGGCGCCACTGAATTCATATCAGATATTGATAATTAAATGCATTTTTCATGTACCATTTAAGTATTTTATTTTTAGTAGCAATATTCCCACAAATATCAGTAAGAAATTAAGAATTCGTCAAAAGAGTAATAATTACATTATTAATATAATTAGTTATTGTTATTATTGTTAGCATTACTACACATTAATATCACCCAGTGGCGTATCTAGAGATTGAGTCTGGGAGGGGTAGTGGTAATATTTATGTAAAGTACTAAGATT